TCAGACCAGCCAAAGAATCTGTATGACTCAGAAGAGACCTAAAAGAATGTAAGACCAAAGAAATCTCAAAAATAAAGACTTGATGCTTATGTTTCTCAGCTTTTCATCTTGTTAGTGATCTCATGAGGCCAGATCAGCAAGCTGATAGTGAGGCTCCATTCTGTCTACTGTTGGTATACATCAAGATAACCCACAGTGCATATGCCTTAAAATTGGCAACATGCAGCCTACTATGTGTTTAATGAGGAAAACAAAGAGAATCAGATACCTCCTTTGGCATGATACAGAGATATACACAAGAATGCTATTGTCAACACAGGTGGTGAAATAAGGGCAGCAACAAAGGGTTGAGAAGGTAAGATCATTAATTGTCATTTTGAAGTCATCTTGTGTATTCCCACAATCAGAATATTTGAGAGGCTCTCCACCTGTGGGAATGGTCAAACTCATAATGACATGAGCAAGAAAAAAGCATACACAATTTGTTTCTCAGAAATACTTCACTAGAACAACATCTTCATCAAAGTGAGCTGAGTTTGAGAAACTTTCAATGGGCTAGACACTGTCAGATGATAGCTCTGGAAAGGTGCTGCAATAACTCAATACAACCAATGTCTACCAAAAGATTATGGTACTCACAGATGGCCATATCATACTACTTCTATTAGCAATGACTCCCTCCCTTTCCATCCACATCAATGTACAATACCACTTATTTACTCTCTTCTGCTTCAATGGGAAGTGCCAGTTTGTACTACTGGATGTCTTTGTCACCTACAGAAAAGTCCATGTAAGCAAAAGCCATGAAGGAGATAATTTCTTCACCAATTACAGATTTATGCAAGGTTTAGCCATGAAAAAATGGTCCATAGCAAGGTGATTTTTTGAGGCTCAATGACATATGAGCTCATCATATTCCATTGAGGCATCCAAGGTAGGAGTGATGTTTCTACAATGACTGCAAAGGCCTCACTCAATCCATGAAAGGCACATATATCCAGTTTCATTGGTCAAGGAATTTGGGAGTAGCAAGTTAATGGTGGTCTCATGAGCTGGAACCAATGACCCATGTGAAGATAGAGCCGGTCAACGGATATCAATGGAGAAGTGAAGTGTCATAAATGAAAAGTCCCGGTCTGCCCTAAATAACACATGCCTGCTTGATGTAATTTAGCAGAGCCGACATCTGTTTCCTCCAGCTGCACACAGATAACAGCCTCTCGAAATGGGAAGACCACAGCACAGTATACATAAGTACATAATGAAGGAACGCGGTTAGCAACACACATATGAACCTGCTTCATGTATCTGGATACCAGTCTGGCAGTAGTGCACACAATAGCAAGGCCTCTCCTCTTCAGAAGAGCTTATTCTAGTTATTAAACAAAGTAATAGAACACTCATAACAATGTGCAGCCTTCCCGGCCTTCGAAACTTGTACAGTAATTGGCTAATGTATGTATGAATGCGTAGTCTATGGTAATATACACGATGCTATAACACACGCGCCCTGCAACAAATGAGAAATGATAATACTAGTACAGCCCTTTGTCTGAGTATTATACAGCGGAGAAGCCGGATCATTAAGCGAGTGGACAACAGACGTCGATGAAGAAAAAAAAGAAAGTAGGATTAGAAGTCGTGCCGTGCGATAAGCTCCACTGCTCGCATTGACCGAGGTGTGATGTTACACTTAAAGGGTGCGGGGTGACTTTCGTGGGGATGAGTACGGGAGGAGGGGTTTACGAGAACGAACCATTTACGCTTACCTGACACTTCCGTGCATGGGGTCAAACACGAGCTCGTCACCTTTCACTTTTGAGATGTCGAATGAGGCGAGCGCCATCGAACAGACAATGTACATAGTAGCTTGCGCCAGCAGACGTCCTGGGAGCAATATATCAATATCTGGAAATGACCCGCGGAGGGCATTCAAGCTTGCCTGGACATATCCTAAAAGGGACAGTCCGTCAACCAACTGAACAGCGGTAATATGGCCATGTAACAACATACCGTCTACCGAATCCGAAACTAATTTCTCTGGGGTCTTGTTCGGGACTGGGACCAAGAAAACGTTCAGGGTCGAAAGTCATCGGGGCTTTGTACACCTCTGGATCGTGTGTCATTGCCCTAAGAGACAGAATGTTAGTGGACGAAGGCGGAGATACAATCCCGCAATAATCACCATATGTTGGCAAACACGACAGATCCTTTTGGAATGAAATGACCCTCGAAAACATCGTCTTCGAGGGTACCGTGAGGAATACCTAGCGGAAGTTGAGTAGGTCGACGACTAAAATGCGAAAGAGTCACAAACCTATCGGGGCAACAGGGTGAAATCGCACAAGCTCTTTGCAGAGAGCGTTGATATACGGTAGATCTTCCTGGTCATCGAACGACGGCAGCCGGTCGCCTCCAAGTACAGAATCTAACTCGGCCTGAGCCTTCTTCTGGACTTCAGGGTAAAGCATCATGAGAAGAAAGAATGTGTCGAGGACTGCGACGGTCTATCAGGGGAAAGGGTCAGCCCATCGGTAAGCCACCAGCGGTGTTACGCGTAACGTACTGTGTCGGCGCCCGCTATCGTGAAATGGCGTTAGCGAGGAAACTACCTGGGTATTCAAAGTAACAAACCTGCATAGATTGCTCCAGCCGCCCACTTCAGATCATGTTCCTGCACACGTTTAGTGTCATTTTGAAGAAGCAGGTTTGAAACGAAAGATTCTTGAGCTTCACCATTGGCCTAGATCGTTTAACCGAGTCAGACATTATCATGAATAACCTAAGCACGTAGAAACGTACGATGTTCTGCTTGACCATTTCAAAGGGCACGTTGATCATGTTACGCAAATCCTGTGCCCACTGCTTGGCTTTCGACTGAAAGCCTGCACCAGGTAGCCACTCAGGAATATGGCGCACTGAAAGAAGACAGTCAAAAAAGTCAGGGCGAGAAACAGGGCAGCCATACACATCGGAATAATGTCAACTAGGAATTGACCTGGCGTGGAAGCGACTGACAACTCTTCCATCGCGCAGTTTACGAGCGCCACCATTTCATCGTTATCACTTTTCACCTCGTAACCATAAGTGATGCGAAGCACCAGGGCCGCGACGTCCCTGGCGAACGGATCAACACCTGCTTCGACGGGGAAACGGAGCGGAGACACTTACTGTGAGATGTGCGAATGCAGTTTTTCTGGTGAATCGAGAAGCCGTTTCATGAGGTTCACGGCCTCCTGCTCTTCCATGGGGTAGAAAGTCCGAATCGCCGACTTGCTGCCGAGAACGTAGTGAAGGAGTTTACGGTGCGAACGGAAAGTTTCTCCGTAAGGAGCCAGACCGATTATGTCGTTCCAGCCCATAAGCTCTCCAGCCATCACCATCTTGGGACGTTCAGAGTAGATGACGCTTCGTTTGTCGAGGAGCGCATAGGCGGCGCGATGAGAGTTAAGAACGATGAAGGATTGGCCGAACATTAAGAGTGAACAGACATCGCCTTATGAAGTTGGACCGCGTTAGTATCATGGGAAAATAAAAAGAAGGATGGCGCGCGCACCCCAGATGTCTACCCATTTAGCAAAGGTCAGCCAAGGGCGATCGGAGGGCATGTCGAAGACATTGCCAATCAAAGGAAGGCCGCGAGGGCCAGGAGGTAGGGAGCGTCGTTTGGAAATTACACGTTGAAGGAAATAGATGCTTGCAACGAAGAGAATGCAATCGAGAAAGAGGAAAGAATTCATGGTGAGCGGAAGGAAGGGAAATATGAAGGAGAGTAAGAGGGACTCAAGAGAGACGAGAAATTTTCTAACTAGAGTGTGCCCATTAAATACAAAGTAACCCGGTACCTTTTCACCATGCTTCCTCGACGGCCACTGATTAAGGGCTTTGAAATCTGTGGCGTTCATTCGATCTTGACTATAGTGTTTTCACAATCGTGTCGCCACGAAATTGGAAATACCCATCCTGCCTTGCCGCCTCTGACCGCTTCTTCATCGTTCCGAAGGCGGGCGGGCGGCTCTGCGGTCCTTGTTGATCGCGCCTGCAAAAGTGTGTACCGGCGTCTTGCATTCATGGTATTCGCCTTTGTACCACACACGAATGAGGACGGAGTATCGTCGTTTCGATGGTCTTGCAGTTCAAACTGATGCTAACGGCATCTGCCAATACTGTCAGGATAAGTCGGCATGTTTCATCGTTCCAATAGACTGTCCACTCACCGAGTAAGCAGGCAGGACTGACCCTTGTCATACGCATCTGGTAAGACAATTTCAACGGTGGGTGATAGGTGGTGATGGGCACAGTCCAAGAAGAGCTAGATTTGGACGGCGCCCTGAGGTGGCGCCTGAAATGCTTCCGTCACTCACACTCCCCTGCTCTGACCTTTCGCTGCGCCTCTTCTACTCGCCCGCCCTTCTCCCTGTTCTGAGGCTCGCCCGTTCTCGAGCCGCAAGGCTCAAGGGACATCGATATGTCGGCGCGAGTCGGAACGAGGCGTGGCCCATCAGCTTGGCTGTCCTTTTTTTTTTTTCTCCAGGCCAGACCTTAGTCAGTCGCATTGAGCTTTCAATTTACGTCCCAGCCTCCTCATGTTTGTGCGGTCCGCGTTCCCAGTGTCATGGAAGACAACGGAGGATTAACCCATGACATCGCCGGGAACACAGTTCGACGAAACGGTATCACGAAGAAAAAGCACCATCATTTGGAGTAATGGATGTTATGTGGACAGTGCTGAGGTCTATAATTGTCCTGCACAGCTTTCCGTGATTGTAGGAGTGGAAGAACAGGGAAGAGCGGACCCACAAGGTCCCATGATAGAAAGACGACCGAAACCGGAAATCGAGCTTCACCATCTTCTCGACGAAATAACAACAGTAGTTGTCGATTTTTTGGTTCCTTGGAACTTGTGAGTTCAAGAACTGCCGATGTGGACGGGCGGTTTTGACAGATGTATCGGGTTAAACAGAACCCGATCAAAGCGAACCAAGATTGGTCGTAGAGATTCAATGGACCATCAATTCTCCATTTGATTTAAACTTTTTCCTGTTATTCAATCATTGAGAGGGAATCGAGCACTGAATATTTGAGTGACTGTAGGAATCCATGCCATTCTTTCAGCTTGCCGAACGTCGATAAAGATAGAAAATGGAGATTACCTGAGCGGCTGAGCCGATGGTTCCAGTCTCTCAAGCTTCAAGCGGCTCCACTTGATCACCGTCTTCATGAGGCTGATTCTGTCCATTCTTTCAACAATACCATGACTACGGCACACGGCCCGTACGTGCGATCAAGATGACTGGATTGACGGCGGTGCCACTGCATTGTTCTCCCTTTTGTTACTATTACTTGGGGCCTGTGGATCATCCGCGGGACCATCCATCCCATTCCGCGGGAATTACGGGCCTGGGTATAAAAATAACCGTTTGCGCAGTCAGAGTTGGATGGGAAAAATGTCCTCACGATCCAGTGGCGCGCAGGGCAAACTGACGCTTGCGATGAGCGCCAGGCATGCAGCACGGCGGTATGCCATCCGTGCGAGGAGCGGGCCATGTCAAAGGCGGAAGAATCTGCCAGTAAGACATTGAAGCGACTGACAGCACCCCGTTGCGCTGCTCTACGGACCGTATACATCCAATACTCCAATAAATGACAATAGGACGGAGGTCTTATTGGAAGCGAAAATCTGTATCTCGACATCGGCTCTTATGTTCCCGGTGTTGGAACTTGCCTTCAAAGCCTTGACGGAAGTACTGTCCAGGCGACCGAAGGGTTAGATTGGCATCGTCCGTAACATGTTCAACAACTTACGTTCATCCTTGTGCGCGCATTTGTGCCAATGTCAAGCACATAGAGTGTAACCATGATTTCGTAGAGGCCGAAGGGCGTTCTGCCGTCGACAGCAAAAACATGGGAAGAAGGCTGGTTCTAGAAGAACACGCTTCAACACGCCACCATTAAAAAAAAAACTCAGGACCTACAAGGATCCACACTCCTGTCCCCCGGAAGCGGAAGAACCCGTACGAGTGCTGCTGCCTTTTTCCACCCCCACCGTATTCGTCGCTCATCGCTCATCAATAGGTCATCCTTTTCCACTTAACTCCGGTCAGACGGAGAATCACAACCACAGGCTACGGATGTCCCTTAATATCAATGATACCTGCGTCTTTGGCGTCTTTTGAGCGCAGTCACGCGAAACCCATAGCCGCCTTGTAACCATATTTCCCTAGTATCTCCCTCCAACGGTTTCCATCTTTATCCATTATGGTGAATCAAGTGATCTTGCTTTGTTCTGATGGGACTAGCTGATTTTGAATATTTTTCTGACTGGAAACAGAATTGACGACCCGACCTTCGTTGGGAACGACGAGATGCACAGAAGAACTACCAGGTTCAACAGGGCTGCGCATTGTCACGGGGGCCCCTAGTTACCCTTCAAAAGACTCTAGCCTAGTCCTGTTGAGCATATGTGAACTATGCAACGAGTCAGAAAAATAAGGTGACGGTGAACATTCAATATGCCTTTATCTGCTCAGCGGGACACAGAGCCGTATTGTCACGTCGCTCATCGGCCCGACTTTCAGAACGTCCTCTGCGGATACCGCCAAGAATTCAGTAAAATGCAAGCCACGGGGTGCGGCGGATTCACCTCAGAAGACAAGCGTTGATGATCATCTTGTCATGGGAAGTTGAAACATATCTCATCGGTCCGACCTCCACAACGGAGTCGCGGGATTGTCATGTCCGATTTAGATAGCGCGAGAAAGGGTGGGCCGAAATTCGGCAAGACTTTGTAGGTGAGGTGAATGTGTATACGACGTGACCCCTTCAAGTTACGCAGACCGGATGTCGTCCGACGAAATCGTATGTCCAATGTTACGCCATTAGTAATGCACCCGCAAGTAGCAATGTCAGTGAGTCCGAGGCTGGCGAATTTCGGTACAGCAGCTAATAAGCTTCAACGGAATAAGTAAACCAATGTTAGTGAAGATAGGCACCAAAGATCCTTTACCTCGGTCGGTCTTGTGGGGCGTACATCTGTGCTGATCACGTCCATCAACCCAGCATGCCAGAAGGTAAGACTGAGTCGCGATTGGCTTTGAATAATTCCTGTTTCTTGCTTCTCATTAGCTTCTCATTGTCACCGCTTTGTCTTGAGCAGTTCAAGTTAAACAGCCTAGGGAACGCCAGGCTTTAAGCCAGCTGAAGGACACAACTGTGACAGTGATGAAAAAGAGATTTATGTGAAAGACGGCGGGCAAGCGCGTTCAGTGGAGTTGACCTTCGGAACGAATCGGCATGCGATCGGAGTTTGAACGCTGCATCCCCCGTTTACAGGTGTGTAACTCTTTTGCCCCTTCACGCTATACGCGCTCTTCCCTGCTACGCAGCAGATCCAACCATTTTGTAATCCTATTGGTCCAGTTTTGACCTACGCCAAACTAACGCGTCGACAGCCATCTGAACTTTGAGGTTTTGGCGGACTTTGGACAGGAAGTTTATGGCTATCTAGGAGTCCTCGGAGCGGCTTTTACGCCCAAACCTCGGTTTATAACCAAGTCGGACGATTCATAGACTGTCCATGTCAACCCTGTATGCGAATGAATGGCTGTAATGATGCCCGCACATTTGGCTTACGGTAACAGACACTGGGGTTTTCCTTTTCACCGGACTGGGTTCTTTGTTAGCCGGAAAGCAACATATTTTTACTTGGGCTTTCTTTGATCAGTGACCAGCATCACGCCTTCTGCATACGTCGCGCCCGTTGGGAATTCCACACTCATCTTTCGAGATGATATCTTCAAGGGCAAAGTGCTCTTCCATACGGGTGGTGGTTCCGGAATCTGTCGGGCGATGACCGAAGCTGTGGTGCGTAACACGTCTATGGACCAGGTGTTTTCGATTCATAACCTGACGAAAATCACAGATGCGCCATGGAGCCAACGCCGCTATCGTTGGACGCAAGTGAGTTTTTGCAAGTTCGGATCTGTTTACTGACGAGTGCTTGGTGACATCTGTAGACTTGACCGGCTCACACAGGCTGCGAAAGAACTTTCAGAGGCGACGAGTCAAGTCTGCATCCCCACACAAGCAGATGTCAGACAATCAAAGGCCCTTCAAGAGGCCGTCTCGAAGACGATAGAGAAATTCGGCCGCATCGACTTTGTCATCTGTGGTGTTGTTCAATCGCTCTATCATCATCACTGGACCTCTCCACAACTTTTTGGCACCGATATCCAGTCTATCAGAAAATGCGTTCCGAACCGTGATGGAAATAGACACTGTACGCCCCCCCGCCCCTACCAATGTAATCTCATACGTAACTCTCAAATTAGATTGGAACGTATAACACGATCAAAGCGACACTTGCTCATGTCCATGCTTCCAAGGGCTCCTACATCATGACCAGCGCGACGCTCCATTACGACGGTGGGCGTTTCTTGACGTACCCATTATTCTGTATGCAGCTAAGGGCTTCGCGCAGGGACTCCCTACCAAGCTCACGTATCAGCAGCAAAAGCCAGCGTAGATGCTCTTTCCAATATTCTTGTTGTCGAAGAAGGGCCGCATGGCGTGCGCTCGAACGTCATATCCCCCTGTCCCATAGCCAACACAGAGGGCGCGGCCCGTTTAGCGCCCATGGCCGGCAAAGATAGCCCTTATCCATTGGGACGTCTCGGTGATATTAGAGATGTCAGCAATGCGACGATATTTCTATTCGGCGATGCTGCCTCGTTTATAACGGGCCAAATACTGGCCGTCGATGGAGGCAGTGAGCATCTTCGGACGACGCAGCTGCCATATCCGGCTTCGGTGTTTGATCCTTCCGCCACGTTGAAGGTGCTCAAAGCAAGGATGTAGAGTATCTCTACTATTAATAGCGTGCATAACCAAGTCTTACTTGTCTGTCTGGATGACATAGTTACCGTACATTCATGACACGTCCCGATCATCCACGGATCCCGACGAGTATAAAAGCGCGTTTCTTCCATTCCAACTCCCCGCCGCTCCGTTCTCCCGATCCGCTGCGTTCTAAAGCGACGTGGGCATTAACGAACACGTCGATTTTTTTTCACGGTCTTTTTCCCCTATGTTCCACGGCGAATGGACATTTGGCTTTCTGCAAGCATTCACTGCTTTTTGGTCAAAACCTTTTTTTTTTCACCTATCCGTCAAAGTCAACTTAGCCCGGATGATGATGTTCCCCTTCACCGAACTTGGCGGAGCTCGTTTTGCGCCTCCTCCTCCTCCTCCTCCTCCTCGTTGGGCACCATGAAAACCCAGGAAGCTACTGCCCTGCGAGAACAGTCAGTGGCTCCCGTGTCTTGACTCCCTATTCCCCCCACCGCGATGTCCCGTCGTTCGCTCACATGCGTGCAATGGGTTCTTATTCTTCCCCGTCGTCTTTGGACTCGCCCTCGCCATCGGTCTCTTCATCCTCGCCTCTGACAAAACTGAGGCTGCTGGCGACATCCTCCTCCTACTCTTGAGGGACTTGTGCGATTACGTCGCTTTCGAGGCCTGCCTGGAAGCTGTTTTCGCTGTGTTGGCGATGTTGGAGGGAAGACAGTCTCAGGAAATCGGGATTGACCAAGTCGAGGTCAAGACGGTGGATACTCCTATACTGGATTGCATAGGGCATATCGCTGGTTCGGTGAGTGCCTTCTATATGTGATGTTCTAGCCCATGGCCACTCAACAGTTTTGCTCTCCGGTAACGAGTGACACTGCACGCCATTCATACGGTGACCTTCCGCGTATCGACGCTCTTCACCCGTCAAGGACATCCTCGGGTGATGTAGATTTCACATTGGATGTCCCTCAAGCACAGGTAAGCATAGCGATCAATGCTATTAATGCACAACTAACATTCATATCGCAGGAGCTATCTATGATGTCAGTTCCGGTCAGCAGCCTGTACGCTACGGTCCCCCCACAGAAACCGATATCACGCATTGCAATTGAGGGCACGGCAGTCGGCTATGCCGCGTTCCGCTCTGGTATTAGCTCAAAGTCAACCCTGCCACTAAGTCGGAGACGAGAAGACATAGAACGCTTCCTCACCATCATGTTTTCAGGATCTACGGGCCATGGTGGAGACGATCATTTCCCCTCTGTCATTGATCGTCCACAGAACGATCGCTTTTACGCCTTGCGTCGAGAGGTGTACAAGTTGGTCACACAAGACACTGAGGTGAGCTTCTCCAACTAATTTTTCTGATCAAAGTCCTAATATCTCTCATCTTGCAGCCAACGGCCCATATGTCCACCTTGTTGTCATTTAGAGACCTCCAGTTTTCCGATCCATTACGGCGCTCGGCTACTAGTTCCCTTGGGGTTGTTGACGAGACCGAACCATTCATTCCGTTGGACCATAATTGGTCTTCAGGGATGAGGGCGAGTGCGACGCAAAGTATTTCCACAGTCACGGTTACGCATTGTTACCCTCAGGCACGCTGGGCAAGGACCGACCAGAACCTCATCGACATCGCATATCGAGGTTTACTGCCAGTCTCCACCGAGATTTCTGGCACTAGTGACTATTCCGCAGATGAAGCAGAGGTAAGCATTCTGCTAATAGTTATAAATTGTCTGTTGACGTTTAATGTTGCGTAGGATACGCCCATAGCTCGGCGTTCATTCTCACGGCCATCGAACCCGGTCCTTCGTTCCGGTTCCTCAGACGCATCCTTTCAAGGTCCCCTCCCATCCGGCAGCCTCCCGCTTGATGTAACTCATGTGGAACATATGCACAACCATTACTCACTTTCATGTTCTCAGGATTTGCGCACGATTGCTGACACAATATCCTTCCCATCCGTCAACAATCTCATGCAGGAGGATGCCTTTTCTATATTGTGTCGAGCAGTATATGAGGAGGTCAGAGAGGCTGCTTTGGTATGCTTTACTAATAATTTTCTCTGATAAACTTGTTAATATGTTTTGTCTTGTAGCCAATGGCCCAAGTATCGACGTCACTGTCAGTGAGGGATCTGGATCCCCTGATTGTTCATGGCGGACGGTTTCTAGTTCTGTTGGAGCCCTTGACGACACCGGAAGTGCCCATGGGAAGAACACCTATTGCGCCCTTCCGCCGACCGTATCCACCAAGATTTCTGGCACTCAACAAGATTCTCCGGACGAGGTCCTGGTGAGTGTTGTCAATTTATTATTGTGAACTACCTACTAACATTTTGTGCAGGACGCGTCTATGGCTCGCCCTTCGTTTCCACGGCCGTCGAACCCGGTCCTTCGTTCGGGTTCTTCAGATTCTTCCGTTGAAGATCTGGAGATTAATAAACCGTCCGAGGCACCGACAGCCTCGCCTATTGTCACGGGTGTGCCGTCGTCGCGTATTCCAAAATTGACCCGGAAAAAGGGGGACTGTCCCTCCGGTTCGGGTCACTGGACCCACTCACACCGGCAGGCCGTCCTCGTCCCCATCCCTCATTCCAACCAGGTCTGTCAAGGGGCAACGACCTCGAACAGATATATTACCCCTCTGTCCCCTCGTTGCCGTCCTCCCAGCGAAATACTAGGCAACTCCGTTTCCCTGCACCCACGCCGACCAGGCGCATGCAGGAAGAAAGCGGCTCCCATTCGCGCCGAGCACATTGTAGGGTGAGCCTTGATTCCAGTTGTTATATTTTTTTTTTACCTTTCTCACGTTGTTCCTAGGCCTGTTCTTCGCGATCCTCACGATGAATCAACCATACAGAAACATCAACGAGCGCATAGAGATGACGAGGATGTCGGTCGCACACCTACTACGTTGCCGCGTTGGGTACCTTAGGGACGACCAACTGGTCACTGGAGGAGGGCTGGTACGCTAACGAGTTTACCGGTCCTTCTTCTACCCTGGTAGATGAGGGAGCCTCGACTGCTGACGAGTAGTTGATACGTCCTGTGCCACTAACACCTCATCCCATCGCGTGCACGATAGACTATGACATCTTTCGACTTCCTCGTCGTCTCCTGCCTCTCCTCGTTTCTCGGTCGCTTCACCGTCTTTTGGACCTCGCTTAGGACACCCGCACACATGCCCGAGAATTGACTTATCCACACATTTTGGAGGTAGATGTCGTGCTAAGCCGTACGTTCCAAGTACAACCACAATGGCTCTGGAATATTTGATTATCGCTACTAGAATTCTTTTCACAAATTATATGATGCAGGTTTCTATCGCTTCTGATCTGTTCATGATCTCCATCTGTGTATCTCTCTGTGGATATCTATCCATTCCTCACAGGCTATCATTCTATCATTCTATCCCTCTCCAGCCTATATCATTATTGCTATTTATCATTCCTATCCCCCGTATACCCTTTTCTACTTGGTCTTTTTGTATTTTCTCTTCTCTCTTCTTCTATTCGTAAAGCCCTCGCCAATTTGTGTCTTTCTTCGAGGACAGCGTAACATTATCACATCTCTATACTCATTTCTCTTCAGGTTCTCTGACTGTCTCCTCCTTTTTGGATTTTTTATTCTTGTTTTTGTGACAGTTCTTGCGAATTTTATCGATTTGTGATAAAAGATTGAATTTAAATGCGTTTAAACTCACCGATCTGCCTTGAGTCGCTAAGCATGTTGCCGTATTTTGGTGGCTTTTCAAGACAATGCCGTGTCCTGGACACCCTTAATGTATGCATATGCCTTACTTAGGTTGTGAAGCTTGTTCGTACCTTGTGTCTCATTGAACCGTCGAAGTCTTTGTCGAGATCCATCGCCTGCAGTACTTATACTGAACCATTTTGTAGTTGTACTCGGAACGTGCAACTTAGTATGACATCAACCTCCAAAATGTGCAGATAGGTCAATTCTCGGGATAGAAACATGCATCGTACAATTTGTGAAAAGACTTGTAGCAGTAATAATCAAATATTCCAGAGCCATAAAACATTGACATATGTATGGTATGTACAGTAACTAATTCATATACAATAAAACAAGATGACAGACCGAAAGCAATACCATGATAGCAAACATTGAACGATAGCCATGATCACAGGAAAGCAAATGAGAGCAATAATCAGGAGTGAAAAAAAAAAAAGAAAGACGATGGCTTAAACTGCATCAGCAGAACGTGGAGGGTGCTCCAAACCTTCCAACCTCCTCTCAAGTTCACGTACCCGAGCCTCTGCTTGACGGCGAGCCTCAGCTTCATCTTGCCGAGCTTCTTCTGCTTGACGGCGAGCCTCAGCTTCATCTTGGCGAGCTGCTTCTGCTTGATGGCGAGCTTCTTCTGCTGCTACCAGAGGGGCATGATATTGCTAAATGTATTCTCAGAAAGTGCTGTTCTTCGGAAGTGTTGTGATTATGCTCACCTGTTTCAATTGGGCCCACTCCTCTTCCTCCGCAACCTTCTCAGCATCCCACTCTGCCTTTATCGTCTCTGGGGTCCTCACCTCATTCACTGATCTACCTCTCCCCAGAATCAACCTCTGCCCATAGCCCGTCAAGGAATGCGAGCATTGGCGACCAGCCAGCGCCCCCTTGTGTATATGCGGCTGTGTCTCCAGCTCAAGGACCTTCCAAATCGTATAGGCGTACCAATAACACTGAGCAAATATGAAATGGTACTGCGGGGTGTTTCTCGAAGTGGTCCGGAGCAGGTGTCCAAAATTCTCGAGGGCGACAGGCCTATCGATTTGCGACTGGGTGAGGTCCATCGTCATGAGAACGTCGTACAGGCAGCCTCCCAGCTCTCTTGCGATGGCACCTCTGTTGGGCAAGACAATGAGCCTGTCGAGCGCATTGGGAGGATCGCCCTTGGTGATTCTCTTGACTTTGGCACCGGAGCGATGGAAACGATTCGTGGTGCCCCACTGTTGCGCATTGGGTAAGGCTCTGGCAGGCGAGGCTGTCGTCGAGGATTCTATAGATGATGATGCAGATGAATTCGAGTCGGTCGAGTCGGCGGTCACCTCTACGTTCGCCTCTACGTCCGCCTCTACGTCAACCATTTCCTGGCTCTGGTGCCTGACTAAATCTGCCAGCAGTTCACCCGGCCCCTTGTACTCCTTCGTATCATCATTCAACCGGTCCACCATGAGCAACGCCGTCCGCCTAGCTCGCACGGATTCCTCCAGTGTCACGATCAGGAACTCATGCTCCCAGCGACTACCTGCACCGAAGCGACATTTGCAGTACTCGACCTGGGTGACGATGATGTTTCCGAGGCCGTGGTCGAGGAAAGGAAGATTCTCTTTGAGAGAGCTGAGAAGGTTCGAGGCGTTGGTCACGTCCTTGTCGGTTGAAAAGACGCGCATCTCGTCGTTGCGTTGGGGGGGCATAATGAAACGTAGAAAGGTATGGAAGAGCTGGGTGAGCCACAGAAACGGCTTCATGTTCCGCATTGTCCGTATTTAAAGCAGAGGAAAAGCGAGCAAGCACTACGCTTGAGGTAGCTGGTCGTCGGCATGAGGCATCGATCAAGTTCTGGCAATTCCCACGACTAAAGGTATCAGCTCTCGAAACGGAGACCTTGAACCTGTTCCCTGGTTTCATCAACGAAGGTCCCACTGGGAGCAAGCGAGTCAGCTACAGTACTTCTCTTCAATGTGATATGAACCAGCATAATGGGATACCACAGAAAGTTTGACAAAAATAGTCCCATATGCAAAATTGAGCAAGAACAGGGTGCAAAATCAGTAGACTGATGGTGATCAGAGTAGCAGGCCAACTCATTCTTCTACGCTATCGATGCGGGGCCAGAGGATGTGTGAAGGATTGAAAAACAGGGTTCTTTATGAGCCTAAGAGCCAAGGATGAGGACGAGGAGCTATACCAGGGAATTCAAGGAATAGAACAGTGACAAGTATCAGTCGTCCAAGTCGCCAACACAGATCTCTTCCTCCATGAAGTGAAGAAAGCGAAATAGGCGAAAAACTCCCATGCCGCAACGAAGACGAATACATCTTCGGAGTACGGTACGCAATCTCCACCAGAGTTTCTTATTTCAAACCGCGTTCCGCGGACTGAAACAATCGATAAGGCCACTGCAAACAGCGCACAGCTGTAGCGGCCAGTCAGATCTTAAGCAGTGGCCTTATCGATCGTTTCAGTCCGCGTTCTGAGCTGATATGCTGATAGTCCTCCTTCTTTTCTGTGAAGCCTACATCACAACGCCTCGTTGGTCCTCCTTGTTCAAGGTGTGTATCAAATAAATATTCCTCAGATGAGTACAAACAATTTCGGTGTGACTCGACAAGGTGGTAATTGGCTACATAGAGAAACGGAGCTCAGTATTGCTAATTGTTAACAGAAAGGATCAAACAGAACAAACGGAAACTACAGAACTGGTTCATTCTATCCGATGATATGTTAACGACTGCGTCAAGTGAAATGATAGGTCGGCAGCCCTATGCTGATATTGATCAAGAATTCATAGGACGGTGCGGCATCAATTGAGTAAATCTTTTCACCCTCGAATTAGAGAAACAGCACACGAAGTAATATCGTCATTGTTACAGTCATCGCAGAGCTTTGGCGATATTGACGAACCGGCGCATCAGGCAACACTGCAAGGCAATGCTGATTACCATGCGGAATATAATCAGAAGAGTGCTCACGGGTTGTTGAATATCCTTAGGTGCGTCCACAGTGGCAGGGGAGATGAGTGATCGTCCGAACATTTTTTATAACATCATAGATAAATGAATGTACACCAGGCAGTCACCATCATCGGCGTTGGCAAAGTGGCACGGATGTTGGACCGATCGTCTAATATACATTGACATTATAAAACTCGATCCACGCAGTAGGTGTAGCAAAAACTCACCACAACATCCTGCACTTGAATGGGCTAGCGCCAGAGGCTGCATACGTATGTATCAGCATTATCGGAACGTACGGTCGCCACGGTTGTGATTCTTCATCAGTCTCTATCTGACATAGACTCAGGGTTCTGGGCGTGCTTAGGCCGAAACAGTGTCCATAGCCTATATTGTCCTTTCACAATCGAGTATGTCGAAGCCAGCTGTAATTGCAAGTAGTTACTCGTGAAGTCATGGTCAAGATCACAGTTTCGTTTTGGGTGGCTACATAATGACAAAAGATACTTTGTAAGAACTCAGTCGTACACAGCAAGAATAGAACGACTGAGGTATCATGTAAACTACGGCGAGGCTTTTATATGAAAAACTGTAAGGACAGGAGTATGTATATAAAAGGTAAGTAATAAGTAGGAAAAATACGGAACGGCAGGAACTCAATGTCAAGGTGCAGATAACCTCCAATACTACAACCCCATAGAGGCAACAGCGAACTAGAAGGGTAGAAACCCTGTCCTCCTATTCCCAACATTTTGCGAACCGGTAAGATTTTGCAACGGCTTATGGACATTGTATTCAATTCTCCGACGGATATCGAGACATCTGCAAGGCGCGAAGCAGCAGTGACGCTGACAATTACAATAGAAGGGGGGGCGATGTTGGTCCTGTGCAGAATTCGTATAACTGGAACAAGCCCGCGATAGCAGACGAGCACTGTCATAAGCTTCACACGGCCACCTCGGAGTTATTTTGCGAAAGAGGTGCATGACGTGATTGTACGGCGGTAAAATGGAAATGTTCAAGCTATGCGGTAGAGTCAGTATGATATAGAATCAGCTAGTCGAACATACTTGAAGGCGGTCGATGAACCCTCCTTGCCCTTCACCTTCCTCGGCAACGTTCCATACAGCCCATTGTCTTCTGAACTAAATCACCGCACCCTATGCTTTAGGATTGAATATTGACGTGTCGCGTTTGGTGGTACGTGGGTTCTGATCGGTTTAAGCTTGCACGCTTTTCTCATGGATGACTTCTTTATTGGCGAAGGCCATTTACCCCCATGTAACTCGAGGTCGACAGCAGTGTCTTAACACAAGACCAGGCCCAGTTTCAAGGGTTATACGTACATGCCACCCCCCTACGAACACCGTGGTTTCTTTCGAATCCAGTGGCCTCATGGAGTTTCACTCCACCACCGTACCCATTTTAACAACACAAGGGTTCAATGTCAAGAGTTTGATGACACCATATTACTCGTTAATGATCAATCAATAATCAATGTATACTACGTGTATGTGAGGGGGATGTCTGTCTAGTCTACGACCATGCAACCTATTATTACAATGCCACGGACTAGCCGTAGCAGATAATGAGCGATAGCAATACAAGAGCGTGCCAAATAACAAGAGAGTGTGAGGAGGTCATGGTCGTGAGCAGACGTAGAGGATATAAAGTGTAAAAGGGTATCAACACGCAGAAGATATAAACCATGGACTAGCATGGCCAAAACAACACGAACTAGCGCGAGCAAGACGCAGACTGACGCGTTAATGCCTGTGAGAAGAAAAATCCAATCCGCGCATGATCCTAGATACATGGCGGGGTCTCTTGGCGACGGTTTCCCTCTTGGTGAGTACAGCGGTACTGTTGGTATTCGTGCGCTTCCTGAACTTGCAGGCTCCCGTTGAACCAGATAACGTGCTACTGGACGTGGAGGTAGCGGAAGCAGACTGAGTGGCGAAGGCAGAGGCGGAGGCAGAAGCGCTGGAGCTGCCGCCGCTGAGGTCGACAACTGCTGGGCCAGGGAATGTGTAGGAGGCAGTTGTATCGTCGTAGACCTTGAAAACTGTTAGCCAGGCTACAAGTGTGAGAAGAGAAGAGACATACATCGATCAGAATACCAGGATCAGTGTCACTGTAGGCTCCAGGCAACTGAACGAGATCACTACTGGAAGGAGTGCCGGTACCAGAGCCACCGACTTTGAGCTGAGTGCACGATGCGTAGAACTCTGCGCCTCCTTCTGTCTGAGCTAACTGGAGCGCAATTATCTCGTGGCGGATAATGTAGTTGCCGGGAGCGAGGTTGCTTGGGATGGTCACATTGGCAGCGGTACCCGTCACTGGAGTAAATATAACTTTAAGAGAACGGAATATACAGTTAAAAGAGTATACGCACTGAGAGCAGCTTGCCCCCATGTACCATCGGTCCTCCCAACTTCGTCAATCTTGAACCATTCTGTACCATTTGTATCATAGTCAGCACATGATGAACTGCCGCAGTTGGTCATGTAGGTCATCATTGGTCCGACATTGTGGGGCCACTAAGAGAAAATCAGCGGATATACCGAATTAACAAAAATCATACTCACCGCCGAGCCACTAGCACCTGTCCACAAAAACTCAATGGTGCTGCCAGGATTGGCATCGGCAACTTGGGTGCCAGCGGTGGAACCCGGCCCACAGGTAAGATCGGAATTCGTCGCACCCTTAACGGGATCCTGAGTAGAGATTTCGCGAGTGATCCCATCGGTACTGCCAGAATCGACGGTTGGACCAGTGTATTCGGTACCATCGATGGTCACCTTCTGCACGTATCCGTGGGCGGCGACGTAGGAAGCGGCGAGCAAGGGGAGGAAAAAGGAAGCCTTCATCTTTACTGTTGTTGATCGGTGAAACGGAAGATACAAGGTCAGTCAGATGCTCCCGAGCAAAAAGACTGTAGGCGTGGAGGAAGGAGGAAGGAGGGAGATGAGGGCTGCAGCGGGGACGATAGATGGGGAAGGGGAAAAAGTCGAGGACAAGACCACTCTGTTTCTGTCTTTATATACTTTTCCGTGTACAAACAAACATTAATGACATTTCCCCATTCGGTGTCAGTATTGTCTAAATTTTGGCATGCTTCCTCCATCACGCCCACGCCCACGCCCACACCCACACCAACACAGCATTGCCAGACCATCTTTTCTTCAACTGTTCCTACGTACTCCTCTTGTTGGTCCTCTCTTTGGGTAAACTTGTGCGCCAGTTATCTACCTCGCGAACAGTGCACTCGTGCTTGAGCTTCTCCTACGCCGTTCTTTTCATTCTCCGAGTTACTACCCTTTAATACGATCAGGCGTTCATCTTCTGACATCAAAACGTGTAGGGGGACTCCTTGTGCTTTCATAATGATCATCGGATACTCAGCAAATGTTGGCCGCATTGTGACTGGCTACCAGTCTTTCGTTAGCGCTCCGTCGGCTAGGGTTGCCTAGCGTACGAGTTGAGGACACTTGTACGAGAACTTCCCTAACGATGGGTGATTTTCAAGGCACTTCTATTCTCCCGACGTCGAAGTGGACTACTCCACCAAGACTCCATTACGGGCTCGCTGGCGAGTAACAAGACAAAACTACTGCGATAGTTTACAACTCAGCGCCGTTACTTAGCTTGTTCAGTGTGCCCTGTGGGTGGCGGTTCTCTTCATCACCGACATCTATCCGCGTTTCGAAGGGATGGCCTTCTTTGCACACATACATCTGCTAGCGTACCAACCACGAGTATCGGCCCATTTTTGAAATTACGAGTCTTGTATGCATCAAAAGGTCCCCTTGCTGCAGTGTTGTGTGCGACCTGTCTCCTGTGATTTTAGACAATTTTTCCTCCCAACCAGTCCTAGGCTCCATGTGAATCTTTGATCCTTGAACAAACAGTGCCTTTGTGTATTTTTTCCAACGAGTCCAACGGTTGATCGGATGTGAGCTGATCTTAATTCTAGAATTCCGAACTTCCCTGCCCCGACATCTATTTTTGTTTTCTTCTACTCCGAGTTTATTTTTGTTGTGGCCAGTGTGTTATGACATTCTCTCGTTCTTTTTCCCATCCACCCCCTCGTCTCATGATCAGTAGCAGAGCACTTCTGTAAATGAGGAGATGCTTTCACTAGAAAATGATAGCTTTCAGCGACCGATCAGCGAGCCATTCTTTGCAATGGATCAGACCGGAGCGTGGTGCTGCGCCCATGATGGACGTAGGCTTCAACATTCTACGGAGGAAGGAGTGCATTCATGGACTGGCATTCACTCAGCCGTTAGTACGTGCGGAAATGCGCTATTTTTGCTATTATGTGAGGTATCATATAACTGACGTCAGGGGTCTGCATCAAGTGTCGGTGTCGGGAAAAATATAACGTTGTGCGATCATGTATCCATCTGCTTCGAAACAATTACATGCACTTTGTAATAGGCAGTGGTGGTGGAAGGACATGCAAGAACGAGACCAGAATGACACATCCATACGGCCATATCAGTTGCTCGATGACCAGTGGCTCTGGTCTCATATTATCATCACACATCTGGGCGTACGTGGATTCTGGGTTGTTCGAACGTCGAATGCGGGCATTGTAATTGTCGCCGACCGAGTGATCACGATACGATGACGGTTGCTCCGAGTTTCCACAACGGTCTCTCTGACAACCAGATATTGCTCGCGAGGTAGAATGAAAATACCGACTTTGGGTGAACTTGGAGGTTGATATAAGGAAGTTATTGCGCCATGATACTTATGTACGTCAACCGTATGACATTCACTGGGACAGCCGTACCCCTTTGTCCGCAGTATATCATGGGTGCTAATGCCATGCACCTTGCCCGGTAACGAGGGTCCGAGTCACCTTTACAGCTGCGATGCCTCAAGAAACCTTCCAAGCAGAACGGCTTAATCCCAGGATAGTGATAAGACAATGGATTATGTACAGCCAACCAAAAAGCCATGCTGCGGTGTGGCGATATGTGGCGCAGCGAGCATACTGCGGGTGCTCAGCAGAGAAAAAAAATGCCTCGGTCTATAAATATCACAAAAGGATGAAACTTTGACAACTGAACTGGTGGCTGAGTGTCCTTCGTCGTGTTACGTCTTCCCTTGGTCCCAAAATTAGACCACCAGTCTTCATTTCGTTCTCCCTTGTGGAATAGTCAGGTCCTTCCAATGGCTGAGATGCTTCAGGTCACCCCGTTAGGAATTAGAATAATGCGAGGCTTTTACGATCGTAGCACATACTCTTGTCATATGCGGGCTGCAAATATAGATCGTTCGGAGGTCACGTATCGCCTTCATCTTTCGCATCATAGCTATACGCCCAATCAGTGAAAGAACAAAAGCTTCAATATGCAGACGTCTTACTCTACCAACAACTGCCCGTCACCTACAAAGCGCACATCGAGACTTTCAACCCGTCCACAGTATTCGCCATCACCGACTTGGTCCTCGTGGTGCACGCGACTTTTTTGTACTTCACAGTGCCGCCATTCGGAGGGAAAACAAGTGTTTTGACTGTGACTGTTTTAAACACGCGTCCTGTGGAAAGGCTTGATACAGGGCCTTTCGGCGACCCTAATCCGACAAATCTGGAGCGTATTGAGATTGAGCAGGAGGGGGGAGGCAGCGCGCCAATTCCTGGCACACGGTATTAGCTGAGAACCGGGGCAGCGTCCACAGAGATTGTACTGCATAAGAAGCATTACGCCTGAGCATAAAGGTCGCGTATGCATGTACCGAACATACACCGCCAGGGTAGGGTAGGGGTTTCGAATTGTACACGCTTCGAGACGTTCCCAAACAAGCGGCAGGAAGTAAGAGACATGCATGTCTGAGAAAGTGCCAGGAGAGCATGGAAACGCTCCATACATATTTCGGAGAAGACGTGTCAGTCGGTCTTTAGCTGGGATCGGAACCGATGGCCAATAGGAAAGTTATTTCAAGTAGTTTCGAACTGGAAGCCCAGTCACGTTTGCTCTTCCCGGTGATAGCAGGTCCTGGTGAGCAGCTCTCTCTGTTTGAGAAAATGACTTGCGCGAATAACCGCAGTTTGTACACCATGACGCAGAACGGTTGTATTGTTGCAGAAAAATGATGGTCGGTGCTGTTGGAACCACTGGGCCTGGGCTCCAGGTTGTCCAACAGATGCTTATTCGGCTGAACCGTCACATGATAGGACCCGCCGCAGACAGCCATATGTCCGATCCGGCCGTTCTGTATTTGGGGACCTTGTACCGATACCACCACCCTGCCGTGAGCCAGAGAGAGAAACAGGAAACGTATTTGTGGCAAGGAGATAGAAAATCATGATGTTTGCAGAATCCATTCCTGTGATTTATTCTGGATGCTGAACATATACACCGGGCACAACGGGCGGTGACTTCGATTCTAAATTTCAGTCTGGGACCGCATGTCCTTCGAGCGACAGAAACTCCTCCAGACGGTGAGAGAACATAGCTACAAGGCCAATCGCGAGTACTTTTGCCCAACTGCAGAGAGATGGGTCGTCTGAGAAAGGAAAGGATATGGAATGAGTGAAGCGCCCTTTTTTATGCGGGAACCGCACAATGATCGAAACGCGTCTTAGCGAGAGGATCGTCGCAAGAATTGCAACCATGGTATTAAGAAGGAATAGTGAATCCAAGGCAGTCGGGTTTAGGTGATTCATTTAGATCCTCCCTTTATCTCATTCCGTGCCGCGATTACTATCCACCACTTCTTCGGGAGGGTTCCATTCCCCTACCGATATAGACCCAGGGCACCGAACGATGCCCTTCTTGAGGTCCTGTCCTGCCCTTTGATCGGGGGCTTGACGTAGATTTTCCTTCACGAGTCTAATATGTTCGCGGTACAACGATCAATCATGTGCTCCACCATGCACTGTCTCTCGTAGATACAGAACGCTGATCTTCTCAAAGCGAGAGAGGCATTCAAGGCCAATGCGGAGGTGATGGATGTTGGTTCGCGAGATCAGCCCGACGGAGTAACCGTTCTTGGCAAACAGACGCCCGGAGAAGTTTCGAGCAGGGCCAACAGGATGAGATCTTGGAGGCATGCGTACGCACCAGTGCCAGTAAAGTTACCTACCCTGGCGACAACGAACGAAGCCATGTAAGAGACAAGGCAAGACAAGACAAGACAGAAAATGACAGAACAGGGTCAAATACCATTTAGTTGGGACGGATGATGCAGATGTTGTATGCTCATAAACCGTTCTATAGCATTTGCATACGAGTACGTTTACATGAAAGTACAACATTAATCTATAGCAACCGTTTCCATACATCAATGATAAGCCTCGAACATCCCAAAATAATACAATCCATCTGAAAGTCGTGAAAAATATGAAAATGTCCCTGACTAAGCAAGGAAGGAAGCGATAGCAATTCCTTACAGCTCACACCAATCCCTTTTCACCCCTACAATCCATTCCCGGCATTCATGCATCTCCCTCTGCGTTTCTCGTCAGTAAGAAGCTCACTTCAAAAGACCAAAACTAACCTCTCCGATACCCAGGACATTCTGGACATCTAACAGTATGCCCTCCGCTTCCTCTTCAGTCTCCTCTCGCAACTCATCCTTATACTTGTCACGACTGCTGACCTTCCGGTGCAACAAAACATCCAAAACGGCCTCACTTACCGCTGCCGCTGAGAGAAGGGATATCGGGAAGTTGAGGATGTCAGGCTCTATATAAACCGTAGCATCGGAGCACGAACATAAGGAAAAAGAAGAACGGACCTAGTATACAAATCATCAAAGACCTCCAGGTCTCTCTCAACACCCGGCTCCATTCCCCTTCGTCCGGAAACAATTCACGTAGCGAGGGCAGCGCATCTAACAACTCATCGAGGACACCTACCGGCGTCCCGCCAAGAACGTAGCCGACGGCAGATAGAAGGTCAGCTTGAGCACCCTATAATGGAGATCAGTGCGACAATAAACAGAATGTGAGCAAACATACCTCCAAGTCACCAAATCCTATCTCGTGCGGTGCAAGGGCCTGCAAGCTGGAAGTATATACAGGGAAGAGGGGTGGGAGAAAGTCCCGATGATACTAGAAAAGGCATCAGTAACAGAAAGAAAAACGAAGATACAACAGCGCCTACCTTGACGCTAACGGCAACGGCACCGACGGCCATATCCCACACCGTATCCTCGAAGCCATCACATTCCACTCCCTCTGTCCCACCGGAACAGAAGAAAAAGAGAAGGAAGAGATATGCCGCATGGAACCGAGTCTCTCTTGAGGTAGAGAGGGCCGTGATTTGGTCATGTAGATCTTCGCCTTCATGGCGTCGCAAGGTGGCCTATGAATCATCAGTGAAAAGATGTTCATTAGCGATGATCCACGTACCTCAAGAATCCATCCTACAACTTTCCGCCGCAACTTCTGGCCTATGCCGATGGCATTCTCCCAATCGTCAAATGTAGAGGTTTGGTTGCGGCATCCTAGTTCCCATATCTGATGACGCTGATGCTCCCGCGAGACGTACAGTTGTAACCGACGTTTAGCCTGGGCTTCGGATGACAAAGCCAGCATCGCTGTGTGATCTGACGGAGGTGCGATAATGGGGACGGGATCCCTCGGCGAGGAACGTGTAACACCGAACCTTGAAGGGAGAAAAAGCTCCGGTGGTAGATGCGCATAGGTGTTCCTCTGAACAGGCACAGGTTCCGGCGATGATGGTGCTGTCGGTATCCAATCGGAATCAGGGGGTGAGTTCCCGAGGTGGGGAATACGAAAAGTGCCAGTCGGTGTGATGGTGGGCGTCTAAAAGGGTATGAGTCCCGGTTCTGCAAGATATACACGATACGGACATATGTTCTTGAGGTCGACCCAGAGCTGCCGGATGAGGAAGAAGACAACAAAGTGTCGGCTCGGAGTGATTGCGCGCGACGTAGGCTTGCTGGCTGGGAAACTGAATATGAGCAGTGAGTTGGTCGGGCCTTCTTCCTCGGAGAAGGCATATCATAATCCTTTCGTTCAGAACGAGAGCGCTTCCAGCCTCGAAACCTTCATATAACAATGAGATCTGAAAAAGACGAGGCTTTGCTGACGTACGTAGGAGTCGTTTCATCGGTAATGGTAGAGTGTCTGATACAGACAACGTCAGTACGAACGCTAGGATAGATAGGTGCAACACACCGGCTGCTACATCTTTGAATCCTTTTGGGACTACGAATGTCTTCAAGAGCGTCTTCTCGTGGACGTTTTGTATTGCCTTCTGATCCTGGCGAGAAATAGAAATCCGAAGCAGGGCTCACGGTTGAGAAAGAATAATTGCGATCCATGCTGGGTGTAGCGGTAGGCAGAAGATTTTGAGGAAATAAGCGTAAAAATGAGTGTTCAGTAGACGGCTGTCGAATCATGGAAGTACAAAATCCGGAGCGTCTCTTTTCCTCCATTTCCAAGAGGAGGTGCTGGAGGGCATCAGAGAAGTCGTCGGACTCTGACGTCGTCTGTAATGAGGAACGCTGCACTGGTGCAGAAAAGTCGTTGCCATCGGATTCTGTCGCACCGTCGTCTTCATCTGATTCGGAAGGTAGTTCGTCCTCAAGGCTTTCAGACTCTTCTTTGATAGAGCCTAGTGATTGCGTACGAGACCAAGATAGAGGAATCCGGGAGCACTGCCAAGAGAACATGTAGCAAAAAGGAAGAATATGGAAGTAAGGAAAAGGAAAAGGAAGAGGGGTGGGTGGTGTGACATGCTGTACGCGTCTCGCCCACGTGATAAGTTATCAGCGCGTCTGTTATCTTATCTCCTCGCCGGTATGCGTTCGCGGGGCTTCGGGACGGTTGACCGATAGCAACTTCAACCACGACCGAACGCGATGTACTAGCACGACCCACCATATTATGCAATATCGGTAATATCGTAACCATATGCATATCCTCAGAAGATATTCATATGTCAGCAGAACATGAATACTGAACGCTTTACACCAGTCAGGAAAAATCCACGAGTTTATGAGTGAGCCCTGAGCAATGAGTTGAGGATCAGTTGATAACTGTTTGCAGAAGAAATATAATGTGCCTTACTATCCAATTTTGTAGGAGACTCTCGGAATTTCACCGGCTCTATATGAGGGGAGGAGCTCGCTACAGAACGAGCACAATATTTGGTGTGGTAGGTATGTCAATGAGTGAAGAATGTGATGTCGCGGACAGTAGAGATGCTGGAAAATAGCCCGACACCCTCATGGGACACAGCTAGTCTCCTTACAAAGGGAAGGACTACTGACGCGAAAGCTACAGAAAGCTTTGTCTCGGCGCCTTCGAAGTCACGCCCTCAGATCTGCAAGGTCTTGATATTTGGCAGCAACGCCAGACATCTCGCCAATTTTTTTGAGCGTGACTGACACCGTCCTGAAATGTTTCAGATAATATCTGTCAAGGACGAAATAAAACATACTCCACATAGATAACGAGGCTTGGATCTCTGATAGAGACGATTCCAGCGTGTCGTAACAATTCTGCCACTACTTCATGACTATATTTCCCAAAGAATGGTCTGGACGGCCGTCATTCCGGAGGTTCTACCGGCGCAGGCTTTATATATTAGATATCTCGGGGGACACTTGATGGTCACTGGACGTCGTGTCGTTTTCGATTTTTTGGATTTTCTGGAGCAATTTCTGGAAATTGGGCAGAATCGAGCGCCTCTCTTTGCATGCACTTTACTAAACTTTATTTACGGTCACAGATGTGTTTCATGGAATAGCAGTACTAATAAGAAGCAATATAAATATCTTCAATAATAATGAAAGTTTTTAGGCGAATGAAAAGAAAATCGAGCGAACTCTGGAATCGAACTGAGGGCTTGGCGTCCAGCGCTTTGCCGCTTAGCCACGGATATCTATGCTTATGTGAGATCTATCTTTGCCCCACTAATTTTCACGTCTGGCTTTGCACCTTTGTTCCACACTTTACCATCATGTCCACTTCTGCTTCGAAAACAAAAAGCAAAGCCAAACCCATGCGGTCAGCCGTATGAGCTCCTTCCCAGCATAATCAGTCGAGCCGCAGGTGCAAACGAGCATGGCGCAAAAACGTTAATATTGAAGACGTCGAAGAGGCCTTGGACGGAATGAGGGAAAAAGAGAGGGTGGTAGGGTAGGTGTTCTATCTATTTGTTGATTCCCGCCAGTCTTCTTCACGTTTGCTTCAGTAAACCTTTGCAGAAAACCACCGATAACGGTCTTTTCTTCGTTGATCTCGCCGGTGATGATCAAGGTACGGGACATTCAAGTCCTTCTGCAGTTGAACCATTGTTTACAAAGATATCTCTAGTCCGGAAATCCATACCAAAGTCACTCGCATCGCAAACCACTGCAGCGAAGATTCTTGCCCAGCGATCGGCAGTGCCGGCGGTGTTTTCACGGGCGACATCGTCCGGGAAGAGAAAGGCAGCGGTGACGAGGGAGGAAAAGGAATGGATGTTGCGTATTGTGAAGCGTCCAAGACAAGGCCCTTTCAATAGTATTGTCGACCCTACAGAATTTGGTGCAGGGAGTGCTATTATTGGGTTAACAGAGGCGATGAAAAACAGTGGCCAATTCGACCCGTGGGCTGCAGACGCAGAAGAGAAAGTAGAAGTGCCAGAGGGAACAGAACGTCTCCAGAAAAAGCCCGTGAAGGTTTGCTTATCTGTACTGTGGTACTATCGCAAGCTAATGCATCACGACAGGCGCCAACGCATTCACAGCCCTGAAAAATCATCGAGGTCCCGGCAGTGGTCGAGCCCCACCTTGGGACATCCTATAATCCTCCAGCCGATGCACATCGCGAGCTCCTTCTCAGAGCTCACGAGATCGAGGAGAGGAGGATTGCCGAGGCTGAAAAGCTGACAGAGGTGAAAAACCAGATGGAGAACGCACGTGTGGGTGAGGATGATGGTAATAGCGGCGTACCCGGAATGAAGGTCGATATCGCCACTACGGTTGAAGAGGAGGAGGAGCCCTCAGAAACTTTCAGTAAACCAGCCCTGGAGAGGAAGATGAAACAACAGCGGAGAAAGGCTGCCAAGGTACTGCCAGTAGAGGTTAGTAGCGGATATCATCCTGATCCTCTTTCACCATGCTAATGCGACCTTCCAGAAACGTGCACTGGCAAACAAAGCTGCTAATAAACGTATACTGGCCACGATTGACAGAGTCAAAGCTTTAAGCAAAGAGGCGAAGATAAATAGCGCCAAGCGCGACGCAGAGCGTCAACAGCTTCGGCTTTTGGCCGAAACCAAGCTGAAGAAAGGGCTGTCGGGGCAAAAGCTTGGGAAGCACAAGGTAGCAGAGGGTGGAATAAACGTGCAGCTGGGAGAAGACCTAAGCGAAAGTTTAAGAGTGCTCAAAGTGAGTACCTGGTATCCTTGTACATTCGTCCCCTGATTCGCAATATTTTTTGCAGCCTGAAGGTAATCTATTCAGGGTTCGGTTCCTCAGTTTGCAACACCGAGGAAGGATTGAGCCTCGCGCGTTCGTACTGTATGTAGCCCCCCGTGATTTTTTATTCTGATGAGGCGCTGACTTGTGGGATGTCTAGACCTAAGAAACAGAGAACACAGACAGTGGAATACGAGAAACACGCGTGGAAGAAGTTCGATAGGTAGTAATGAGACGTCGTATGCCATGTTGTCTTACGCCACGCTTGAGTAGTACTGATTAGGGTCTGTAATATAGGTTACATTAATGGATAGAATTGCCGATAAAATAGAGACACAGTCGCCGCCTCACAGTCTTGAGACATGTGCAGGCTCGTAAAGTTTTCCCCCACTAGACGTTCGCAGGCATGATTTTAGGTGAAGTTCATGCGACTATAGAAGACTTTTTCATTGTTCAAAGATCGTCACAAAACACCCCGGAGGTTCATTGTCGTCTTATGGCCGCTCTTGCCACCTTTCCCTTTTCGATCCCGTGACAAACTTGACCAAAGGACGTCGGTTTACTCATTACCTCCCTCAAACGCGAGGCAGTTAGCACTCTTGTTCTTGGTCGTCCACCTACACCAATCGACGTTCCTTGTCCCTTTCGGTTCATATTCTTCTCACACTCCCTTTTCTCCGCACCCTCCCTCGTTTGAAGCATCGTCTCTATCTATGGCCCACCAGCCAGAATCGACGACATCATCGGAGAAGTCCTTGTCGTCGCGTCTATTTAATAAGATCAATTTTTAGTCTTGGTGCCCCTCCGCAGTCACTGCCCGTCTGCCACTCTTCCCCCTCGCCGCCTCCTGTGACAGATAACGGGTCAGAGACGTCTAACACCAGCGACGTGTCGTCAGAGTCCAGCAGTATGGTGTGGAATCCGTCATCTTCTCCATTCCCACCTTCACTGGTTGAGGTGGCAGATGCCGAGGTGGAGATGCCCAGCGCGTCAGAGCCGTCCTACAGTACTCCGAGCAGCACAATATATTATCAGCCATATCATCCCCGTATTCTGTCGCCAATCCCGGAGGGCGGTAGCATTTTTGACGACGAGCCATGTTATCCCCCAGATGAGGAATCAACATTCGATGCGCTGCCTAATGTTGACGAAACCCCACCGAGTCCTCTGCCCAAAAAGAAACCGCCTGTTCCACCATGAGGGGTCATTGTCAGTTGTTTATTGCCTCTCACTCTGTCAGCTGGGTCTACCGCCTCTGTACCCCCTGGGTATCTTCGGATATGTGGACGCACTGCACCTACTCCAACGAATCGGCCACCCTTTGAAGAAGGACCTCCGTCACCGTCCTCGTGCAAGGTATGCATGCTCTGCTCTGTTTGCTGCTAAAACATACTGAAGTAACTGGCAGGGTATCATAGACTTCCCTTACGACTTTCCCACTGATGACGCCCCACGATCTGCTTCTCCTTTTGCCAGGAGCGATTCCGAGTCGAGCCGCAATAGCTCCAGCACCGATGAAGTTCAATCAGACAGCAAAGTGTCGACTGGACGTTGGAAGCGACTGTTTCGCAGTCGGAAATCATCTAAGCCATCGGTGCCTCCATCCGCCTGCCTTCCGGAATCTTCGACTCTGGTCGTATCAGAGTTCGGTGCCGTCGAGTCTGCAGAGCCATTGCCGAACGACGAAACACAGCTATCTTTAGGCCGTAATGTGCTCAAAAAAACCCCCAAAAAACCCGCTAACCTGGAGGTGCCAACAAAAAGCGAGGCGAAAAGCGTGACCAAGGTGTCCCGAACGATGTGGTTCCAAGGGTCGACTGCAGCGAAGAAAGGTTCCTTCTCATCGATAGAAGCGACATTAGATAATGACCAGAGATACGTCTTGGTTTGCGGCTGACAACTGCGAAAGGCGGTAGTGGCTGCTCAAGGGCCGGTGCTGTCCTCTTTCCAAATGACCGCAACGACAGCGTAGAACGCAGCCATTACTAACGTCCAAGACAAAAATGGCAACATACTCGCTGCTGCATCCCTCGACAACCGTGACAGCTGCGATATGAAGTGTGTCTCTGGAGTCGGTGTCTTGTCTCTCTATTTCTTCGAGCTAAAGGAGCCAGTACCGTCAACTTTTCAAGTTTCGATTCCGGCTGTAGCCGTGCCTTTCTTAATGTTGGCGGCAACAACGGAGAGAACATTACTCTGCTCACCGTGATTGTGATCGTGCAGCCTGGTCCTGGTCCCTATCGATATCCGTTCCGTTTCGGTGAATTCCCCTCTCCCGGAGAAAGCGGACTGAGTCAAGTTGGCGTAAATTGGAAAAACTAGAGGGCTTGGATACGGAGGACTTCCCCATGTGATACCGAATATGCCACACAGAACAAACCAGGACGCCGGGCTCCCCATCCCATCCCCATTGCCACCGTAGAACGGTAATGTCATCAAAGTCGCCTCTGGGCCGCATCTCACCAACAGGCTTTATGGGATCTGGAAGACCAGCAGCAGCCCTCGTATCGCAGAAGTGGCGAAATTGCTGCACCGGCTCACGTTGTCTTCAGTCTGAAAAAAGATGTCATTCCCATATCACTCCACATTGACGCGACCAACGCCGAGGTCATTGACCAATCCAAAGAGGAATTCTTGGGATGAGAGTAGGGTCTGGTTGGCAGTAGATGGGACGAGGGACGACCGCGACGTCTTGGCCGTGAGCGGTATAAGGTATAGTTGAAGTCGGGTACGTTTTTTCTGGGTGCAGTCAGGCAGGAAGAAATGTCAAAAACTCGTCAGTATTGGAGAGACAGTGTGTAATCCATGGTTGGAATTTGAGGGGTAGATCCGTGCTACATATGTCAAGTCAAACTCCAAACCGATTCGTCTCGAGTATTCAGAAAGCATGCCGCTTCCAAGCCGAGCGGCGTCAATAGTACCACCTTATCATCTCATGCATAACTTGATATGATATACAATAACACAGAGCGAGTCCTGGTCATCTGGCAACGCTTCCAACCACACAAAGAGGTTTAGCAACATGGTGTTCATTCAATAACTTCTTATGCATTCTTCACTAGACTCGCTCCAAAATAATAAGGCAAATTATGCGCACTCATTGATCTAGTACCGAGGGAGACATAAACGCGCTATCTTTACCGGTGGAAAGCGACAGCATTATCCCTAAGGAACTCGATCTGTTCCTCCCGATAGTCATCCGGAATTACAGTCATATTCTCGCCTTTCAATTGTATGAGCACCGGGGGGCCACGATCAGTGAAAGAAACCATTCTAACGAGTAATTTTAACATGCCTCATTATCCGGTGTGTATTGTGGCCAGTTAGGGTTTGCCAATTGATTAACAAGCATCCAACCAGCAGCATGAGAATCACTCACGAGACGTCCCTAAGCCATCGTTGGGATCCAAGCTCGTACTAGATTAAACCCAGTAGTCGACCATCATTTCACCCAGCAAGATCGACGAAGCCGGCTCAGTGGAGGAATCCAGTTCTCCGTAGATAAACTCTAGTTCCGCTGAATGAGTCACTGGCAAATATCTCAGTACAACTCAGACGGATTCAGGAAAGACGAGATCCGCCTCCAAAGTAGGGCGCCCAAGACGAGGAATTCTGTGCGAATTGATAACCGTACGATTTCACGCCTGCTCGCACAGCAGCCTGTATCCATGTTCGACGTTGAGCATCAAAGGTTAAGTCTCCCACTGAAATTGATGGTTAAGCACTTCATATTGGGAACAAGAAACAATGCTTACTCATAGATGCCAATCTCTTATAGCCTACGGGTAACCCAAAACTTTCATTTCCGGTGCCATACGGCGAACCCAAGGATGGATCGTTAGGGTACAGTTCGAGAAAGCGGTCCAGGATAGCATCAGGGATGTAAGGTGGGAAAGCTGAATAGGTGGTCTGTATGTAATCCTTGATGTCCCCATCGGTGAAGCTGCGATTTGTCTGTTGACCAGTCCCTAATGAACACTAACGTTGAGTTTGGCCTTTGTATAAAATTCATATCATACCTTCGTCCAAGTTCGTGCCTGAGATGAAAGGAATCGTGGCAAACTTGCCCTTCGCCCAGAGCTGCGTAGGCAGATCGGGAAGAACACCCGAAGTACCGTCCAGCACAGGATAAAAAGGGAAATCTTCGATAGCTAACGCATAGGCCTCCACGATTCCTTGATATATAGCGGACGAATTCACCGCCTGCAGGCAGCCGAAATTGTTCTGCGTGCCGGCGACGGACTTGCAGCCTGTTGTCCCTGCAACAAAATCTTGCCAGGTAGATTCTCGTGCAGATGCATTATAGATGACAGGGGAGGACGCTGAACCAGATTCAGAATAATAACTTTTGTGAAATGACGGTATGCGTACCGCAGCCCAGGCAAAGTTGGAAATCGACGAGTTTAGAAGCATCAAATTCGTCATCATAGATCCAGCACTTTCTCCGAAAATTGTTACCTACCCGGGAATGTTATCAAGAGAAGGTGCACATAACGAATTCACCACCTTGGTTTTATCACCACCAAACAAGCCAATATTCTGCTGAACCCATTCCAAGGCAGTTAACTGATCTCTGAGTCCGAGGTTGAGCTGTCCTCTGCTCTCGGCTTCCTGTCCTTGGGGAAAACCTAACGGCCCTAGCCGATAATTGTAGTTCACGTAGATGATGGGAGTTCCCTGGAGGCAATTAGTCACGAACACGTAGATAGAATGCGGAACTTTACTTTGGTAACACTCTGGGAAACGATATTGCTTCCATTGTACGACGACGAAGCGCCTCCAGCGAAACCGCCACCATAGGTCCTCCGTTGTCATTAGCGCAGGGACCACATGAATGAAAGATATAGTTCTACCAGAACATGACGGGCAAAGACAGCCCAGAGAGCATAGCACAGAACGGACACCACGATGAGCATGATTAGTGCGACGAGCAATGGGAGCGAACATCGCCCTCCTTATGTAGCTTTTTGGGTTCGGAGAAGGATGACCGTTTGGAAAGAGGAAGAGGTATTATTACAAAATATAGGATTCTCGCGCACTGCGCAGGTGCTTCGAGCCAAATTAAAAAGGTTCTGTTCGCCTGTCGTAAACTAAGGAAAATCCGACGCGTCAGGAAGCAGTGATTGACCTACCGAAGTATCAGCGAGTCCACCATGCACGGGTTTTGCGGCGCATTACTTAGGAATTATGCCCTTAAGATCCATGCATGCCACCTTTGGCGCCAGAGTATCGAAAGAAATAAGTGACAGGCATTGCGGGATGATAGTAATAGTGGAAGGAGGAGAAACGCCTTGCTTGTTTGGTCAACTTTGTCCACTTCAGACTTGGACGCGTACTCCGGCATCCGACGCGACTGACGGTGAAGCCTTTTAGTTCATTACGGCTCCGCTGCATGACATCTTCAGATACCCACGGCCGTCGGAAAGAGAAAGTCAGGAAAGAAATTGCACTCTGAACCTCCGCTCAAAGCTCTGCTTATCAAATGGACTGTATAATGGACTCCTGCTGCGGTCGTTGATGAGAAGTGACTTCGACATGAGTAAGGGGGAAACTGTTCTCCTTCTCGATGACATGCATCTGTCGAAAACTCAACGGTGGCGAAAATCAGGACTCGGGAAGTTGTCACAAAATCCTGGAACACACAAGACCTTCCGGAGAAACCTAACAACTTCGGCTGCTTATCCTAATTTTTTTTTTTTTTCATTTTCGTCCCTCATAGACCTCTGCGTGTCTCGTCACCAAGTCCCATATTCTTTCAATGTTCAGCTACAACTGTACGGAGGAGCTTCCAGACTTTACATGCTATGCGGTCATGAGGTTCCAAGGTTTTGTGACAACTTCCCATTCTTTGCTACCGTGTCAAGCCTGGGTCGATACATACAATTATTAATAAACCTGCGCGGTGCAAAGGAAGGACGATCGGCGACCTTGCAGAATTTGGCTCCGTGACTTTCGTTCGAAGTATCTCAGGGACCTAATGAGCTGGCTGGATGGCAAAGGATTCAAATCGCCAACCCGTGTTCAAGAGCAAAAAAAAAAAAGGCAGTGTCGGGTCCAGCAATACGGAAGAATAATTCGATGGCCGCTTTCTGCACACTTGCTTCGCTTCCCGAACTTACCTTGATTCCATCCAAGGCGCATCACGCATTCTCACCAACACTCGGAGAAGTGAAAACGCCAGCCCTTCGTCCTGCAAGAAGGGAAAGACGGCAGAATGAGCGGCCGTAGGTACTGTCTCGCGGGTCTACAAGCTCATGTAATCCAGCTGTGGCATCGATGTCTATAAACACTGTCATCTCCTGATCACGCCTCCTTCACAACTCGAAGCAGTCGCGAAGCCAGGCTGGTAAACAGGGAGTTGATCGAGCAAGGTGCGCTCGTACGACAGCGCTGATTCTTCTCCTGATAGGCGTCGCAGTCGAGAGAAAGTCACAGAATTCGACTCGAAATACAAGGAGGATGCACAAGGCGCATATCTCTATCCTGAAAATCTTGCCTTTGGAATACTATTGCGCAATCACTAGCGACACCGATAAGCCAGAGTCTTCTCTCCATCCGTCCTTGACAGGATGATCTTCATGGTGAACCATGCTCGTTATTTTCCCTTTACGCTCTTAAATTATTTTTGTATCCTACATTCTTTTATGAATATACGTTCAAGTTCAAGCTATCTAGATCAGTCTCAAATTGTACCCAGGAACCATCCGCGGAAGCAAATCTGCAATCGATTCCCAAAGAGGTATTCACCGCTCGGTATTTTCAAATTTGGGGCAAACAAAAGAAACTTTCACTTTCACTTGTTCAACTTCTCCTATTCGACCATTTTTTCTCTCGCGTGATTCGATTTCCATTCTTGATATCAGCACCCACTTTCAATTCTGACCAGGTTACTAATGACTTACTGAGGAGGGGAAGATGGCCACAGTGGAGACGATCGTCTGCCTCGCATCCAGATCCTCATATGCTTTCGCACTACCAGAAATGGAGAAGACACAAGTCGCCCTCCGAATCCTTCCAGACACACATCGAGACCGACGAGTCAATCTGCCTTAGTCCAGTCTAAGGAAGATATCATCCCCATTGAGGTGGGCTTGCGAACATCCATGACCATAATGGTCATGGCTAGCAGCATCAACCCTTCGTGTGCCAGGGAACCAGCACACGAATGCCTCTACGCAAGTCCTTATGAAGACAGGTCCGTTGCCGGAAAATATGGGAGTATTCACAGCTTTGCGTTCCCAGTTGTATAATGGCGAATCTGAGTCCTAAGGCTCAGAGTTTTGATTCACTGAAGCGATAAGATATGTACATCGACGTAAAGGAACAGTATTAGTCTAAAGCATCAGGAAAAACTCATCAAACTATATAGAGCGAGAGGAGAAAGCGAGAACACACGAAAAGATGCTAAATTACAACATCAAGTCGGTTGAAGAAAAGCATTTCAGGAAGTGTGAATATCACGCCATTTTTTTCAGTTGTAGGATGACAATGATACGGTGTGGTCCGGTTAGGCAGCTTTTGAAAACGAGATAGTTCGCAGGCAAGCATACTAGACATGGCTGGCGAGACGATGGTAATAAAATACCGGTAACAAGGAGAGGCTCATCCAGCTGTGAGACAATTGCCATATGTCTAGCAAAAAAGAGCTATACTCTGCATCCTTAAGACCATGCATTTCCAATGAGACTGAAAGCGACAAAATGACAAGCTGGCCGTAGAGGTCAGTTTTCTCCGAGTTATCATATCACGTCGCTATCTAGCATCAACGACTAGCAACAGGTTCATAGAGCATAAAGATGCATCGTGTAAGACATTGAGGCCCCGAACGATAGCTATGATAGCGTTGTGAACATAATCGCCCATGTCGACTTCGCTTCCGAGATGAATGTCGCTCAGAAGTCCAAAGACCTCCAATTCCTCGACATTTTACCAACCCGGCCAGAGAAGAGACAAATTCTCTAAGCTTCCTGAAGAAGGGAGCACGTTCTGGTCGACCTTCTTCTTCTTTCATTGGTCGTTCGCCCTTTTCTGTCCGAGCGGAAACCATAAATGATACCTTTGGCTATTGGAACTGCACGAAGAGGCGAGAAAGGAAATGATATCTGTCCCAGGAACAATAAGTGGAAGTAATTTCAGCTGAAAGATTCGTACGGAACAAATCCGACAGAGTACTTAGCACCATGGCGAGCCCGAGTGCGATATTGGTCATCCGATGAACACAAAATGTCGCATGACTGTCAAAAGAAACACTATCACATTTAGCAGCGGTCATCAAAACAAAACACGGCATAAAACTACATTATCGCAGAAGCATCGAAAGCAGATAGTTAGCAATGAAAGCAGGGAGCGTAGGTAGTATTACATAGCACGATGGAAAGATAGGAAGAACGAAAACGATGTGGAGGAAGGAGAAACAAGAAGAATTTACTGTGTATAGGACCTATCACCAGCAGGGGACTGATACCTCGCTAACGTCGCTCGAAGCTGATTGACCTCTGCCTCTGCCTGTTGACGGGCTACCCGTTCTTGCTGAAGGGCTTCCTCTGCCCGTGTACGGGCCCTCTCTGGAGCAAGAAGCGCCTGACAAGCATATCAGAAAAATCTGTCCGTCTAAAGAATGATAATCAAAAGCTCACGTCTCGCAACTCAACCCACTCCTGGTCCGCGATAACTTTTGCTTCTTCCCACTGCAGCTTGACCGTCTCCGGCGCCCTCCATTCGTTCACTTCATCGCCTCTCCCAAGGACCATGCCCGGCGCCAACTCAGGATTCCTGCCCTGTAATGGAGCATACTTTGTCCGTGCTATATGCGGTGCTGCCTCCATATCGAGAACCTTCCAAATGGTGTATGCAAACCAGTAGCACTGCGCAAAGATGAGGTGGTACACTACAGTGTTCGTCGAGGTGGTCTGGAGGAGGAGGAGAAAGTGCTCGAGGGTGACGCGTCTTTGCGCCTGACTGAAGTCCATCGTCATAAGGCAATGGTACGGGCATCCACCCTGCACCTCCAGGGCTTCGTCGATGCTGCGCAAGATGACGACTCTGTCGAATGCATCAATAGGATACCACTTGCTGAAATTCTTGACTTTGGCGCCGAAGTGATGAAGACGGTTTGGGGTATCCCAGTGATCATCAGTGGTAGTCGAGGAAGAAGCGGTAGAAGAATTGGACTGTGAGGCATTCGGTGTAGGTGAATCGTGCAACCTATCTACCATGAGGAACCCACTCCGCCCAGCTCCCGAAGATTCCTTCACGGTCACCACGAGGTACTCGTGCTGAGACACATTATGGGATGGACAACACTTACGGTACTCGATTTGTTCGACATGAATATTACCGAGGCCTCGCCGGAGGAAATCGTTACGGTTCTTAAGCGCGCTGAGAAGGAGCGTAGCGCTCGTCGCCCCCCGCTGAGGCTCGGTTGCGAAGATACACATGTCGTCGGAAGGGCCAGGGGACGGCATGATGAAGGAAAGGACGGTAGAGAAGAGCCGGGTGAGCCACTGGAAGGGCATCATCTTGTTCTGTCGTCTTTAAAGAAGATGCAGAGGCAGGAGATGGCGGTCGACATTAGCGTTGGGTTTAGTTCCCACGATCGCCCTTGCCTGGCGGTGGACACGTTCCTTTCAATATTTTAGGTTCCGCTTATCTTTCAGTAAGGAAACTTAGTACCGCAAAGGGAAGCCTTGAACAGATACTTTGGTTTCTGCTGAAAAATTGGGCGCATAGTGTGAAGAGTATTCAATCGATGTACTCGTGCCCTACATTTGCTTCGTTGCCGACACGCCCTTGCTGTTCTCGACCGCCTCGTTGATATCTTGCTGTACCCCCACTATTCTCAAAAAAGCAAAATTCAAGGTGATACGTATCAAAGCGCCCACAAAAGGCTGCAATTACCTTGAATGCTGCAACGGCGCGGTAGCAACGATGTAACGGTTGCTGTCATTCACACAGCTGTGTTCTCTTGACCTTCTCATTCTTCGAAAAGAAATGGGGATCCATCCATCTGTAAATTTTCAGAGTCCGTTCCTCAGCCTGTGCAAGATTTCCGTTCTGAAAAATGGAACGACGAACAATGCGTACTTGCATGAAGGAAATGCTGCGGTGGACGATGCCAACTATGATGTAATCACAGACCATCATCACCACCATAATGCCCTTCCAGTAAGCATTCTGATAAACGCGTCTTTATCCCTTACTCACATCTTCCTGGTAGCTTTCAAAGACCAAAAATCACGCGTTTGTCCTCGACCACGCTCACTGCAGCCAGTCTGATAACTCCTATCCGTAGAATCGTAGATACAAGCGTAGAACAATCATTCCCGGGCAAGTGCAATCCATACTACAAAGAAGGCCGTGTCAAGGCTGACCCGTGTATCAGCTTCCTCTACGTGACCTTTGTCCATTTCAGGCCCCGTTTCTCCGTGCAACTGGGACGTCATGTACATATCAGCTAAACAACCATCAATTTGTTGTGCCATAAGGAAGGAGAAGACGACGTCTTGGTTTGGTCTATATGGATTATACGCGTAGAAAGAGTGAAAAAAATGCAAGGCTATATATAGAAGATGTTCGACTCAAATCAAGTTCTACAAAAAATAATACAGTAACGATACTAGAAATATGGGGTTGGTGGAATAATGCAAGGGTATTAGTAACAATGTTTTGGATACAAGCGCGCCCGGGAATATTAAAGGCATAGCGTGGTGCGAAATTAATTCGCGTTCCTAGCGGCAATGGTAAGCGCGCCAATCACAATTCTCCAAGCAAGGTCAACAGCGTCCCACAAATCTGTGCTGTAGATGCCGATAGCGGTCATATCCTGCCAGAGCTCCTTAACATGCACAGCATGCGTAGTAGGCTTCTGCAAGTCTCCCTGCTCCTGGGAGCAAAGGTAGGCCGACAGTTGCATTCATGTCCCCATGGCCTCCAGGGTATCGAGGACCGTCTCGTGTGAGATGGATTGGAAGAAACCTACTGGGACTGGGAGGAGCGATCTGAAGACAGGCTCGAGGCGGTGGGTGTACATGAAGTTATGGATAATGCCGAATGCCTGCGGCGAGGGGAGGGCGAAGGGAAGAACAGGGAGCTTGACCAGCGATTGGCCGGCTTGTGAATGAGCAGGTGGGATCACCGGGAGATGCGCGCAGTGCGACGCAAGGACGAGAGCATGTATAGGAAACACCATACAATGCTCCGAGGGAATCTTGGAAGACGAGATAGCCAACACATGGATGGGGAACGCGCGCGACGGCGAGCAAACAGGGACGGATAACACGCCCGGAAGATGACTTTTCGACGGAACGGTGGGGAGATGGGAGGGCGCCAAAGTAGATGTCCCTGTTAGCAATCTGTACATAGCCGTTAGCGAGGAATTCGTTCGAAGAGTAGGGTCTGGATGCAGCCGAGGTCGAGCAGGAAGGAACATTACAAACTGGCGGGACAGTCAATATTCACGGTTGAATGTGAGCGCAGTAGATCCGTATCGTGCGAGTCGGACGCGTAGAGGTCAAAACCTAGTCTACTTTTAACAGGTTGAACTGGAATAGCTTACCGCCGGCATATACGTTTCCGAGCCGAGCGGAGTCTTCGGACCGCAACGTTAAAAATCTGTGCTCTTCGAAACACCTTCCTATTCTGCGTGAAGCTTCAGATATCCTTGTATCTGATCCTGCGCGCTCTCGAAACAGCCCGACCCCAATACCAATGATTTTGGGAACTCTTTCCCTCGCGTAACACCCTCCCCACGAACAACGTCCAACATTACTTGTACGCCCTTCTTCGGATCTCCTGGCTGGTTTCCATTGTACGCTGCGACAGGCCCCCTCGGTACACAAAAAAAGGTGAAAAGGTAACAACACTTACCCTGCAAAGCGCTCTCCACCTGCTCCGCCATCTTTCTATAATCCTCGATCTTGGCAACGTACGGTTTCCGATGGTCTCGTTTTAGGAAAGAGGTACGGAAGTACCCAAAGTCGATACGAATGCTTCGAAGACCCAAGGACGAGACTTAAGGGCGTACGAAGTTCCAGTAATGAGACAAACAAGTTGGGAAGTAGACATTGTGTACTGGGGAAACGAGGTATAACTTTGGGTCGGCCAGACGGGGCTCTTTTATACGGTTTGCTGCTTTCTCCACCTCGTCAAGTATTTGCGTGAGGTGGGCCCAACGACCCAAGTGTACGCGTCAATGATGTGGAAATCGGCTGCGATATGATTGGTGGAAACATATCCATAAGCCGGTCGACAAGGAGTCAGAGACGCTTCGCATAGCTTGTGCGGTGCTCATCACAAGCTCGAGAGGGGTGATTCCTAGAAATCCTAGCGTCAGCATTGCTAGACATTGGAGTCCAATGGAACTCACCGCTCAGTGAGTAGCAGCTTTCGGGGCCAGAGGACGATTAAACCAGCAACCAGCTAAGAGTACATACGAGAAACGTACGTACTTCGCAACATCCACTCATCTCGCCGTAAGAAAACCTGAATAATCTCCAAATGATGGCAGGAGCACTTGACACTATGACATCACCAGAAGGAGCTCCATCTAGTCCTTGAAGAGCGCTATGATAAAATAGCTTCGCGGGGATTTAGGTTGGAGAGAGCGCAATAGGCCAAAAGCAGTAGTAGTTGCTTGAGGGCCGGTTCCATTACCAGTTCCCCTACCAACTCCTAGCTATGACAGCAATACCCATTGCTATCTCTCGGAGACCCTCCTGACTTCAAGCTTCAATATTTCAATGGCCGTCGATACCTCAAAAGACATCTCTACCGCGATTCACCACATCGATATCTAGTATGTTGCCCTGTGGCCACCGCGGAGACGATGTCAATGCTTTTCGATGCTACTATGGTTGCAGCCGTGTCTTCCTTTGGTCTTGACCACAACGCTCGGAACCAGTGTCACTTGCAACACCCTGTCCATCTCGATCGATGTACGGACCAAGATGTGGTCCAAAAGTGCAGTGCAAGATGATTTGTTCAGTATTTTTATACGTGTGGTGGTGACTCGGGTTTGGGTATGCATACGGTACACGTCTATTCGCAATATTTGGAATTTCACGTCTCGGTGGACTGACACGTCGCTTACAGAGGAACGACTGGTAAACGAAGGTCACCTAGTCGCAGGGTGAGTTTCCTTTTCCTTGTATACGCTTGTCCCCGTTGAAAGCTTTTCAGGCAGTTTGTCGATATCACAAGAAAAACATCTGTATTTGTTACTCTCACGTCGTCAACATCAATTTATCACGTTACGCGTGTCCTTACAAAGTCATGATTGCAGCTATTGTGCTCTCCCGCGGCGTTCGAAACCCCTCGCAACAGCAATTCTACAATAACAGCAGCTCATAGCGAGATGAAGGCTGTAGATCAACGCCGTCCTCTTTCTCTGATACCGTGTAACTATTCAAGTGGCATACTAATTCCGCCAGAGATTTAAGAGTTTGCCTAGGGAGACCGCGCACCATGGTCGTACCTGTCAGGTCCCGAAGTTTGCAAGGCACCGTTTTTTGGCGACAAATATAACAAAGTTTGTCGTCGTGTAAGACTCGGAGCGCCGACTTCTTTGACTCAAGCTCAATGCTCTTATCGGTTATTTACAGTGATCCGATATGACGTCTGTCTTGCCTGCCTGCCTGCCTAGAGAGCTGCGCCGCAAGATGTAAGATGTCGGTTACTTTCTCGGAGGTTTACCCCTACAAACAGCTGGTCGACGTTTTCTATGCTCTAATATTCGGTAGTAGGGTGGAGTGACACAGAAAAACGTGGACTTCTACTTGTACACGGCACCGGTCAGTAAATGCCACGGTATGAACTTCACTTTTGAGTCCACTGTGACCGCTCGAGGTAAATACTTGGGGATGAAGCAGGGTCATCGGGCCAGGATATCGGAATAGACGGCAGGTTATAACATGACAGTAACGGTCCGTGTTAGTAGATGGATCCGATGCAATTTAGTCTATTCGAAATTCGGACCGAGGAGCCGAATCTCCTTACTCACCCATATCCATCAGTCACAGTATGGAGGGCATTGAAGCATTTGTTCGCTTCAAGGTACCCACTGGTACGCAAAGCTGCGCTCAAGTTCTCAGCGGCTGACAGTTTACTATCAAATCAGGATCATCCAGGCATGAACAGGCATAGACGAGACGCGGAATTGAAAGCGTACGCTGCATTCCTGCTTCCGTGTACACAGTTCGATAAGGCACCTGGAGATTACCGTGTTTCCTTGGCGACCACGACGTCGACATCCGTGAAACTATCAAGTGAAGATTGAAAGGATTCATTTATTCCTGAACTCCTTTCTCCGCGATGTCGGTGACAACTAACAACAGAGTGAGATGACAGTATCTGGGTGAATAAGTAAGTCAAAGGGTCCACGTAGATATCAGATTATCAGGGATTTGGAAGTTTATTGGCAACGATCGCAGGTCCTGGGCCGCCAACAAGCGATAAAACGCCGCCATCGTTCTAACAGGACGGGCGACTATATGTCTTCGAGGCCTTCCGTTCAGTACTACTAGTAGTACTACCTGTAACTTACAGTAACTTGCAATGTAACACAAGGATGAGTTTGTTTTCATAGGCCTCTGCGCTGTTATCGAATCTTGATTTGCTGCCAGACACGGCAAGACTTGGCTATTGAAAAACCGAAATTTTGAAGCTTTCCCAGTTTCCTTCTGAGATCCTTGTTCCTTCTCATTTTCATCAAAGTTTATGGCGACGGCAAACCGTTCCTTAGCTACATTCAGTAATCCACAATGAACTGAGCTTAGCCCCCTCATTTGTTCTCATTCTTACATGCTCTTCAACACATCAAGCTTAGTTCATAGGCGGGACATATATTGTTTCACCCCGTTTGATCAGTTTCTTATCTGCATTGCTCACATCTTAGCCATATGAACACAAGGCGCGTCGGCTGACACAGGACGCGACGCGCCTCAGATCACGTGACATTAACGTCATTCGAAGATTGCATCAACTAAGTTACAGGACAATGCTTAAACACGAACAATTGTCTTTGACCCCAGGAACTGACTAAAGGAACCTCCAAAATCCCTTCTATCACCAATCATGGCTTTTCTCATTTTTCTCATCTCCGCGTGATTCCCGGTGGGAAGCTATCAATTAGCATGCACATATGATAGACTCGTCTGAATCCGCGTCGAACCATATGTAAGTCTTGGATATTGATTCACCAGAACGAAAGGTTAGCACAGGTCTACCGGGACCAACCGGACCGGTCATGTGATGGCCGCAAGATTGAATGCCCCTGCCAATCAGAAACAAATTCTATGGTTTACCAGTCACCACGATAGCGTTTTTCACCTTCTCACTGAGACGCCTCCGCGACTCGATTTTCGCTGTTTGACACCGCTTACCTGGAGGAGGAAGCCCAGACGGTGAACGGCCCTTACAGCAGTAGCTTTCGTCCGCTCATGATAAAACGCAAACGCGCACAAAGTCCAACGTATAGCTCTCAGGACGAGATCTCAGTGGTGGTGCAACCAAGTCCAAGTAGACAAGCCGAAGTTGGCTCATCACCCAGAAAACGGGGTGAACTGTCAACTGAGGGTATGTCTTCGCCGCCGCCGAGAAAGAAGAGCAAGAGGGATGAGGTGCTTACTGGTGTGGACGAGTATAATCGGTGTCCAGATGTGAGCGGGAGGGCGAGCGTTATCCGGGATCCATTGCCGAAGAAACTAAAAGTCAAGCCAAAGCCTTCCAAGCGAATGGAGTCCGTCAGGCCGCGAACACACTCATTTGGGGCACGCATGAAGTCAGTCAACTGTCGCGCGAAGACCATCCAGGAGTTTCTCAGCCCCGACCAGGAACCAGTCATGACTTTCTCGGTTTACTACGATGATACTCTGGAGCATGTGCGCCTCATCGATGCCCGCGAGGGGATCTACGAATACTCCATGCAAGACGATGATCCCGATACCGTTACTGAAGAAGCTTTGTCTATGAACCTGCAGTTCATCCGGAGACGGTTGAATGGCCATGGTGTTGTCGAAGATATAGAATGGCATGATCCTGAGGCGGGCTCGAGACTTGGAGTCGACGTCGGGACTTCCCCACCAACCCCGCCTATGTCTCCAAAGGCCGGAGGCAAACAAAGCGCCGTTCCCACCGTCCCTGAAAACCACATCTTGCTTTCTCCGGCATACGATATCGATACGAACCTCGACAACAATTATGTATACCTCGAAGACAATCATTCCGTCTTCCATGATCCCCACACAGGTCTATCGGAGCCACAAGTTGGTCCTACGACGCATTTTCCCCTTGTACATCATTCTCCTATTCACAATTCAGCTACTTCTTTCCCTTCCTCGACGTCGTTTCAAGGAAAGGAGCAGCTGCTTGATCCCCTCCACGATTCTTCTTCTCTCCAAGGCAATTCGCGTTTGCAGGATGATTTACCGCACCTTTGGTTAGAGGACTCAGAACCGCTGCACAATGGTACTATCGACCCGTCTCTTTTGGGTGGGGGACCAAACCCACCTTCCCCTGCTGTTCAAATTGAAGCAGAAAATATGCTGGATGAATGGGAGATGTCGGACTTGACTTCTCTTGAAGACAGCAGTAGTCCGTGCATTGATCTGATCCCTCTCGAACCTCATCCATCGCCAAAGCTGAAAAAAAGGTTTCGCCCTCCCGACCGGAGGAAGAGATCCGAGTGGCCTGTGACGGACAAGGAATCCTTTTGCCATCAGTGCAGAAACCGCTCGTTTCGAGCATCCGTGTATTGCGGGTGCGGGAAGGCATACTGTGTCAGGTGCATTAAGATAAAGTGGGGTCGATCGTTCTCAGCAGATGGATGGCCATTGACTTCTTTTCAGGTACGACAATTTGGAATTTGATGCCGACGCGAAAGATTTCGTTTGTCCGAAGTGTAACAATACGTGCACATGTGATATCTGCACCAGGGCTAGAGGCGAGGTGTATCATTCAATGAGGGTTGGTTCGACCAAGCGGGCACTGCCCACGCGTTCACGTACAGTGGAAGCGGACCGCCCGTCAGTTTCATCGTCACGTTCTACGCGAAAATTACTCAAGTCACGGAGGGCTAGGGACGCTGAGGGAATGTATACGGAAGAACGTAGTGCAGATCACAGTGCACTTTCGTCGCGCGTCCTTGCTCCTACACAGCACCGGCACCAACGTCATGTGCAACGATGCGACCCTCCACATGTTTCTCTCCTCGGTGGTTGGACTACTATACCTCCGCTCAGTGAACGTAAGCAGGGTCCAGTGAAATACTGGGGTAGTATATACGGGTTTTCTGGGGAGAAAATTGGGACTGCGTATATTCCGGAGGATGGGAATTCCAATACGCTCTTGGTCCAGCGTTCCAGAGTGTTCGTTGGGGAGATTCAGCCTGTCTGGGGGCTAGGTACCAATCCGTTGTTGAGAGAAGTGGATCCTGCGAGGAAAGAGGTGAACAAGGACGCTCAGACGACTCGGAGGAGGTTCGTCGGACAGCAGGCGCCCTTGTTTATGCCCATTCGGACGATAGATTCCTCCGGAGTTATAGAATATGGGTCGGATGCTGATGGAGAGGACGATCCTGAGGGGCCAGGGAATAGGCTTACGTCCAATGACGAACATCCTGGGTTTGAGTGGCGGAGGGGCGAAGCATTGGATCCTGATAAGATCAGCTTGGCTGATGAGGACGTGACGTCGGTTGTTATCATGTCTCTGAAGCAGATTGGCGTTACCGCGGTGGTTTCTACAGAATAGATGCGTCGTTCGTCAGTGGAGTAGCTTTGGTTATTCTTACGGTAAATGTATCTAAAGCTGGAAGTCTCCTTCGTAGCTTATATCTTGGTATCTTGGTATACCCCAAACGACAAAAGTGCTATCGTATTGTTCAATGCCCATTCTATTAGTACTGAACCTTTGGACAACGTTTCCATCTTGCCGATGCCCGGGTAACTGTACAGCAATCAACCCTATTTGACTGATTCACTCAACCTTCTACAAGCAACTGAGCACATTGTGTTAGGTTAGGTTACGCCGCGTTGGCTCCGTGCGTCATGGGCCGGTCAAGATCACAAGGGAATTTGTTCGGCTGCCGCGCGTTTGCTGACTTGCCAGTGCCATATTCAAAGTAACCTCGAGTGTTCATCACGTCCATGCTAGCTGACCGCGACTCGATACTTCTGTAAGTCTGTGACTGGGCTATCACTGGTGGACAAGACGCGTCGGTCCAGGAGGATGTTACGGTGAGTTGGTCTTATCAATAGTCGCTAGGTGTCTTTGCTGAACTCCGTCTGTTAGCACGACACGGAGGTGGAAGTTCCATACGTTTACGATGAAGACGATGGCGAGTCTAGATCTGATTCACAGACGACTTTCGACGTAAGTTGGATGCACCTGGCAGCATGTTTCTTGGCTGAAAGCGATGTTTTTAGTCCCTTGAGAGCGACGACAGATCCACCCTGTGCAACAGCTCTTTCGACCAGTCGGGAAGGACATCCCCCGATGCCAAGCACAGTTTCTTTGACCACAGCCATGGTTCTGTAACCGCCACTCTCCCACGATCTCCTCTTGCACAGCACGAACGAACCCACACCTTCGATCTGAAAGCAGCGGAGCCCGAAGAGCAGGTTGACCTTCTCTATCATCAGAATGGTCAGCTAGAACGAGGTTCAACACGCGTTGGAGCAGAGTCGAAACGAATACTTGGTCCATCTACGGGTAGAGCATGCCAATTGGAAGGGTCAGTTTGATATCCTGAAGGAGGCCGCGAAAGAGATTGAGCTGAAACTGCACGGCTCCGAGGCTGCGCGTCTTCGTCTGGAGCAGAAACTGTTGGACGCCGCCAGGGAAAGGGAGATGTTGCAGGCACAACTTGAGGAGGAGCAGCCGGAACAATCCCGGCTGAAGCGTCGTCTTGCCGATACCCACTCTCAGTGTCGGCGGAGATGTTCTGAAATGGAGGACCTGGTTGTTCGGATCAATGCTGTCGCCGAAGAAACATCCTCCAGTGTGACGGCGGAACGAGATAGTGCGCTAGCGGCCAACGTGATCGCGCGTCATGCGATCTCCGTTTTGGAGAAGGAGAAGGCTGAGGGTAAAGCTTTGGCTCTGGATATTTAGGATGAATATGAACGCGTTCGTTCCGCAGAAATGAGCTCTCGGGTGAAGGAACAAGAAAGGGACGATGCTCTAGCATTAGTTTCCGATCGTCAGAGCCAGGTTTCCGATGTTCCCGAGCAGCTTCAAGCCGCTTATTGGAAACGCGAAGTGCTGGAACAAGAGGTACCTTAACTACGGCACGAAGCCACTCGCCAGGAGGGGGAAGCGGAGGAGGAGGAGGAGACGAGGCGAATGGAGGCTCAACGTCAGGCGGAATTGGAAGCGTCGAGGAAGAGGATGCAGCAGACGCTGGAGGAAGAAACACATCAGAAGCAGCAGGCTGCTGAGGAAGAAAGGCAGAAGAAGGCAGTGGAGGGACGCGCTATCCAGAACGAACGGGAGGAACAAGAGCGTCAAGAGCGAGAACGGAGAAAAAGATGGCGCGAGGCGATGACGGCAGAAGAAGAACGATGCCACAGACGAGACGAGGAGAATTGGAACCTCTCGCTCGGTCAACTGTGGTCCTACCAGAAAGCGATAAATCGGGTTTTATTTGTCTTGAAAGAATTCGAGACGACCCAATTCTCCGAGTCTAAACCCCTGACGCCCTCGGGAGTGCCTTGGCCTGTTTTGATCAGTCCGAACCGATTTTATGTGGGTATGCTGGAAGATTGGACGCTGGCCGACAAATTCTTTGAGCGTGCGAGGAGATCTCTTCCTTTTGATGCGTAGGACTCGTCAGACGTTCCATCCAGACCAATGGAGATCGAGGAACTTGTTGAACACGGTGATGGACGATTCTCTTCGTGCTGTTATTGAGGATGCCGGTAATAAGGTTTCGCAGGCCGTTAACCGTAAATATCAGGATCTCTTGGATATGTCCTAGACCTCTCTTCGTTACAAGCTTTGGTTATCAGGCTAGACATGACCCTTTAATTGTTATCATGCATCTTCTACTAAGCATATGTACTTTTACATTTATGCATACCCGCGACACAATATGATTTATTGAACTTTTTTCAGACCCGGATGATCGGCCCGGTCAGTGTCATCAGATTTTTCAAATCTGGACTTCAACCATCACGGCCACTTGCATTGAACGTCCATGTACACGTCGTAAAATCGGTGTACGAGACCAATGCTAGGAAGTGCTACTTTATCTATTGGTGTCTCCTTTTCCTAAATCTTCTCCTAGTTGACCAAGACACGTCTTTTATATCTTGCAACTTCCATGTAACTTTACTGTGAGCAGAATTTACGACAGCTCATTACAGCTACTAAGGAAACATTTATAGCCTGTTCAAAAGCAATATTCTAGAAGGATGGCAGACACATTGCTTGCCATTTTGCTCATGACGACCTCCGCAAAGGAGGCGAATCCCGTGTATCAGTGGCCTGCAAATCCTGAGTCTTCCAAGATTGAGCCATCCATATCCAGAGAATACTTCGTCACTCATTCAGTTCGATAATGTATGGAGAGCTTCCAACTACAGTGATGCTGTGGAGCCTTCGGACCTTCGACTCCGTGCGCAAATCAACGAATCCGAATACGCATGGAAACGTACCCAATTCGTGCGCGACAGGTCGACTTCCTTGACCCGTTCATCATATCATCCTCTTTCCGGAAAGAACTTGCCAACCCAAGATCTAGATTCTACATCCGCCAAGGATGAATACAACGCCCTCTTCGGATGCTCGTCGTCCTTCCTAGCGGGCCCTTCTATGCCACCAGAGGTCTATGTGCTACCAGAAATGTGAATTACTTGTCGACGATCTCGCTTTTGTCGGGCACCCTGTCTGCGATGACGCGGATGGTGAATGGCACTTCAAACCCGAGAGTCCTGCCAGAGGGAGGGAGACGAGAAGTCCAGGGTCCGATGTTGAGAAAGTCCAGTTTTACAGCAAAAGGCGCCAACCAAGTCAACCTGGCTCCAGACCTTCAATTTTGTAATTGTCCTCGACCTACCGCATCCTTCGTCCTCTACGTCGGGCAATCACAGAGATTGTGTACGAACAGATCGTTTTCACGATGACTGCCGTCCTTTTTCAAGAACAAGTCCTACAAAATTTCTTCGAGGAAGAATGTGACAAACTGGGTTCGCTCAAGGACAGCTGCATGGCAAAAAGTTAGTTTCCTGTCGTTCCTGTCTGCCAGCATCTAAAATTACAGATATTAGGAGAACCATTCTCAAACTTTATGACCCAGGCTTTAGAAGTTTCATCTATAGCGCCGGCCATGAAAACGCTTTATGAACCTGTAAAATTGTCTTCGGTGGCCTACGTCGCAATCAATAATATTCCTCTGGAGCTGCAGCTTCCGCCATTCCTGGATCGAATCCTCTATACTGAAGATGACGATCTCCATCAGTCCGAGGGCGAAGAATGGCAGGGTTGGGGACCTGAAATGGCTTTTGGCTGGAAACTTCCGGCGTTGGCACCTTGGAAAAGTTTGCTGTTGTTGGATGACTCCCTGAACCTCAGAACACCTCACATCGACGGCAACGATCACAACTTGATTGAAGGCCTCGTAAAATTTATGGAGATTGCTGCGATTACACTTTCGTGAGTTTCAGTTTTTATTGGTAGATACGCTTTTCATGCTAACGGTCATATAAAGACTTGCCGACATGGGTTCTCTGTTAGACTGGGACCTGGAGGCGCAGTTGTTCCCGACCGTTCGCTGGCTCGTCCAACATCGGCGAGCGAAGGTTGTCGACATTGTACACACCGGATTGAAGACTTTGTTCATTCTTCCCCCGAAATTCCCGGCACCGTACGTGATGCGATGCCTTTCTGAGAACGTGTTTGACATGTTGATGCAGTATATCGCAACTGTCGGAGGAATTCGAGAGAGAATTTGTCCAACAACCAGTTTCTTCTCTTCCAGAAATACTCTCTGCGATATCGACCTCATCTGGTACCCAATTCTTCGACGTCGTTGTCCAGTCCAAGGCCTTCACACCATCGTATCAAAGCGTAATCTCACGGATGCTCAAATGCGACCTGCTCGTCGCTCTCCACCTCCGCGTACGCATACTCGCCACCAAGGAGCTCAAATTACGCGTCAAGCATCGCATTGAGAAAGCCCGGGCGGAGGAGGCCAACAGAAGCCTGAGCAAGCTCTCCCGGGAAGCCGACGCCGACACGGACTACTCGTCTCCTATTGCACCGGGAATGATGTGGCTCTCTTTATCGCCGAAGGCTGCCCACGCGTATTCACGACACCGTCCATCTCCTGAATCTGAGAGGGGCCAAGTGGATGCTGACGACCAAGAGGAATTCGAGGAGGAGGAACAGGAGTGGGATTCTGGATGGGACACGAATGACGATCATTTGACGTCGTCCATAATCAAGGACTCCAGTCGTACGACACCTCTGCAGCGACAGTGGCTCTCAGCTATGTCGGAGGGCAAGGACGCGCAGATCGCTAAGCGATTTGATCAGTAGGTTCATTTGCCGAGTTGAAAGGCGGCCATTGTGCTGACGTTTGTTCCAGCATCAATCAGTATTTTGACGGGAAGCGTACGGATGATGAGATCTTGTATCGCACTGAAATATCACGCAAGCAGCTTCGTCAACTGCTCCACCATTATGGCGAACAGCCGAAGACTGACCACCTACCCAGCTTCAAACTTTCTTACACCCATCATAATATCGCCAGGATTATATACCTACAGTATCAATGTCTTTTATATCTGTACACGAGTTATGAACATACAACAGTTACCCCCCTATACACATAATACAACAATCAAGCGTCTGGCCAATAATGAAAAAAAAAGTGTCAAGAAAATCTCAAGCCAACCATCCACGACAATTTGATGCTCCACACATGCACCGATTCCCCCTCTTGCGCTTCTTGACAGCTGTCGACGGGCAGTAGTCAAACGTGAACTCGGTGCCGGCGAATATTTTCTTCTCTGCCACAAAGGCAACATAAGGTGTCCTCATCTGCGGAAACAGCGTGAATATCAACACCACGAAGGCAGAGCTGATGAATACCTCAAAGATGGTGTCATAAACGACTTGATATATCTGCAGCGTCAGATCACAGGAATGATTGGGAACATGTTTGTCTATCCGTGTTTGGTCCCAGAGTGCATGAACACTCACTTCAAGAAACGCGTCCAGTTTCCTTTCGCCATCGGGTGTCAGCCCAAACTCAAAAGATAGGAGAGGAAACGTATCCCACCATACAATGTTGAATCAACGCTGTAAGTCCCTTCCTCAGGTTCGCTCCCGTCTTCTGTGAAATCCAACGCAAAGATAAATGACTGGTCCGATGACTTGTTGGCTACAGTCCGAGGCCTGTAGGATGTCATTAGTACACGAGCAAGCAACGGCGCATGTACATACACTAACAACAGTGAATACACAGTAACAAGAGTCGAGATGACGACCTACCCTGTATACAGCCCAATAACCTTCCCCCGCTCCATATCAGTCGACGAGCGAACACCCCAGCCACACCTTTCTGTCTTGAGCACCTCAATAGGGACTTGACGAGGACGCTGGGCTGTGCGATTTATACAGCTAATATCGCAGCGGCAGAGCTGGAAGCATATGAGGTTAGGTCTCTCAGCCGAATGGAGCTTTTGCTAACCCTGTTGCACTCGCTAACAGCGACATGACTTTCCACGTTGAAGGTGAATAAATCCTGTGAGACGCTCAGTAAAAGAGGAGTAGCCAGAAAAGAGTGTATTCCCACCTTGAAGGAATGAGTGAACACTTGAACCTCTTCCCCGTTTTGCTTGGCCCTCTTGACTTCGGAATCAGCCTGGAAACCACACACAGATGGGTGGGTGCACGTTCTGCAGGTGCAGATGGTGAGCAGTGTGTCGTCAACGTCGGGGGTGCCCGCACCGCTGAGAAAATGGTCGATACATTACTGGAAGAAGAAGAATGTCACGTACTGAACGTATTCCCTTTCCAGATACATGAAATCCTTGGCTAGCTCGGGCGTTTCTTCATCGTCGACTTGATTAACGAACGTGATGGGAGCTGCTTCTGCTTTTGCTGCTTCAAGGGTCCAATGTCGTTGCAGAATTTCGTGCTGTGAAAGCCTTGATAAGAACTGTGTTAAGCTACTCAACAAGAAGGGATTTATGTGAACTTGCCTTTATGGTAGCTTCTCAAGACATTTCCTAGGCCGTGGCAAGCATGCTTCCGAGGCTGTCAACCATCGCTTTTGCTTGCTATCAAACGCCGTGAATAGGATTTACGAGGCCGGGGTCTGGGTAGCCAAAGGTCGCGCAATTGAGACGAGTCGAGCAGGTCTAGCGCTGGTGACGACCTCGAAAGAATGAGAGGCTCCGATAATTCTTGAATGGGGAGAACGTATTGATGCAGAAAGTTCTCGGATGTTGAGAGAACCGTCTCGCCTTGTGGACCTGTGTAGGAGTAACCGAGTGGCCCCGTCTTCGCCAGCGGATGCTGAAGACGTCGAAGGCATCCTGTAGTCACTTCTTGGTGCTTCCCTCTCTTTCCCCTTCATCTTGGATGACGCCGATATAGTCGATGCGGTTGGCGAGTGTGCTCTTTCCCCTGAGCCTGGAAGTCTGTGTCTGGACGGCGCTGGGTTGTTGGCTGTCCTATTCCTCAGCCTAGACGAAGGGGGAGGTGTTGACGGAGGGTCTGGTTCAGTGTCCAAAGACCCAGAAGCGTCGGATTCCTCGCCGTCCGTATTTTCAGGTGAAGGGTGCTTTTGTGGCGGAACGTTTTTATCAAAAAGTAGCGCCACCAATTTCTCTGAAATCGGAATGGGTTCATCTTTTGTTAATGCGATTTTCTCCTCATACGCCTGCGCCCGAAAACGCCTCCGGGTATTGATGATATCCGTAGAAGACCAAGTCTGAATATCTCGAGACTCCTGAGCCATGCTTTGCCGCTTTTGTTGCTGCAGCAGATTGGTTTTCGCTGTTCCAGAATAATACCCCCCTCTTGTAATTAAGCGCAGTGATCAATGTCGAGGTGCGTGGGGGACAGGCCATTCGCAACCGCTGTCTCCTGCTAGGGAATGTTTAGCACTGAAGGGACATTGAAAGGATAAACTGCACCTTTTCTTTTCCTCTTCTAAAGAATCGAATAAGAGTGTGTATTGCGTCGGCTGGAGCGACCAACGTACGTCCGACGAAGAACAAGAGGATGTGCAGGATGAGCAGCACGGCCGCCACTCGGGTGAACATGCTGGGCCTCCGCCGGGCAGGTTAACAGGAGAGGACTGCTTTAGAAAAAACCCAGAAAAAACTGAGGACAGGAAAAAATACAATACGCACTCGAAAGCAGGTTGGAGGTGGTCCGGGAAGATGGCTAACGCTGCCACTAACGAAGCAATAGCTTATATATATGATTCTAGAGGATAGAAAATTACAACTTTACCCGTAAATGCACGTTATATCCAGAAAGCTTACCACCAGAGATTCCCCTATATGCATCGATCGCAAGGTCGACACACGCTTCCCTCGCCTTTTCACCTACGTTCTCCTTCGCACTCCTCATCACATGCGCAAGCGCCACCACTGCACTGCTACCAATACCGTCATCAAAGTTACTTTTTGCTCCTGCGATAAGCTCCATCACGGCTGCATCCACCTAGGCTGGCTCTTCATCAACACGCCCAACGCCTTGGCCGCTTTATTCCTAACGACAATACCTGCGGGGTCGCTCACGCCCTTGACAAACGTCCTCTGCGGCTGAAGGTAGAGCAGTTTCACGAACGCAGGTATACGTTCCAACATTGATGTCAGTGGACCCAGAATGGCCGTCTTGACCGCCCGTCGGTACGACGTTGCTTGTGTCGCCACTCGAATCAGCAGGTCGGTGAAAGATACCACAAATGGTTTGATTGCAGTGTCTTCCGTACGTTCCACGAGATGACCAATAGCATACGCTGCTTGTTCCCGCTGCTCGTTACTACCGGTAGTCAGACCAGCGATAATGACCGGAACGAGAGGCCCAACTGCCTTGGGGACACTGAAACCAGGAACAAAGTGACTCGGAGCACCTGTAGACTCGACACTCCGCCGCAAGGGGACCACGAGCGATTCAAGTTCGTCTTTGGGAACGGATCTGAGGAATACGTCGATGGTTTGTAGGGCACTGGCGTAAACATCCTCGTAATCGTCTTCCATGGCAGAGATAAACTGTCTGATATAGCGAAGTATCCAGTTCAGTCTCTTCGCAGAAGAGGGAGAAGAACTTGTATGCGCCCTTTCGCCGTCTGAGGGTATCGTGCTTCGACCTGAAGTAACAACGTTAGAACTAACACATAATATACCGATGATACACCGACCATCCCAAGAGCACCATCATGAGAGTGTTTAACCCTTCAATGTCATTGATCGACCTGAACGATGCACGAGTCGCCTCATCCGCTGAAGATAAAAAGTTCTTCATCTTTCTCGTCTTCGATAACTTTGACAAAGGCACTGGTAATGACCGTCAGCCGCTTGCTCAGCGCGTTTCCAGCGACAGGGACAACGAATAAAATCAGTCTATCTCTCGGATCGAGGGTGGCTCACATGATTTCACTCAGGACCAAGCAGACGCCTTCCCGTGTCCGCGAATCGGTCGACGTCACCTTGACTTTGAGGAGAATAAACCATGATTTCGCCAACGACCTTTTCATCAAACTTACGGCAGACAAAGACACCCACATACCTCCTGTTGCTCAGACTCATCACTAGATATAAGAACAATTGTTTGACTGATCAGTTCGGGAAGTATATCGGACTACACAACAGCAATGAGTATACCTCTAAATTACCAAACGGATTCATCGTACCTGTCCAGGGAGTATTGCTCACCAACGCTTTCCAGATTTGTATCGACGATTGACGAACAAGATAAAGCGCGGCGAGAGCTCTCTGCAGTGCTCGCATCGACGACGTCTTCTTCATCAAGATCACAAGTTTTTCCCGAGATGCCGGAAACTTTGAACATAATGATTGCTAGGGAAAGGCGGTTAGCGAGAACAAACAAGATAGCGAGATTCATACCCGGATGCGCCAACCAGGATCAAACAGATCGATTGCCCTGTTCGAATAGTTAGTTATGATCATTCTTCCGGCCGTCATCGCCAACAACGACATGAAGCCTTCTCGAACGGTAGCTGTAGGAGATTGTGCATTCGCGATGATATCCGGAAGTAACCCTTCGAGATGCTCCATTCCGAGACCGGACAAAACTTCACTCAGTCCCTGACCGGCGCCTTGTCGATCCACACCAGATGTATCCGTTTTGAGAGTCCGCAGAAGTCCAGATACGGATCTATCAGACGGTGAAGCCACATGAGAGATACGAAAACGCACTGAACGGAATGCGCGCCTCGTATGACCAATGCAGCATATTTGACAGATTCCTGAGATTCCTTCGCCCGTGAAGAGTCGTTGATCATATCCAGGAGAAGAGCCATGGATCCGAGCAAGACGCTCCAAGATTGCGTTTCTGAGAACGTCGAATTATGTTGTATGCATATATCCCACATCTGAAGGAGCACAAGCACTTCGATAGCCTAAGCTGGAACCGAAGACAAGATAAGACGATGCTTACCTTGACGAACTGAGCTTCGAATAGCGCACCACCTCACGCGACAGCCAACCCAGCATTTCCTCTGTTACTCCCAGCCTTTGTTCATCGCTATCCATTGTCCCCCGGAGTTTGTCCCTCTTTATCATTTCCGTTCCTACCATTTCGACAGCATCCTTCTTCGATATTGAATCAGCGTATCTGGGGTATGTGAGCGCCAACAGCTTGAAAATGTCAAGATTTTGGATAAAGAGAGCTCTATCTGAGAATCAGTGATCAAGCCACAAAAAGGGCACATACCTGCATGCCGAACGAGAGCAAGCAGGTCTTTCTGTTTTGCTTTCTAATAACCGATGTTGGCCATATCCATAGACGTCGACCAGTCTTTCAGTACCATGTCTCTCTGCCATGACAGACCAGCGGATTCACTTTCATCGCGTTCCGCCACGACTGAATATCCGACTTGCTCATCGCACCCAAGTCTTCGTCGCGAGACTTGAGCCATGAAAACGTGTTCTTGCGAGGCAGATCGACTAGATTTCACGCTAGTAGGAATGAGATATCGTTACCGACACGAATCACAGTGCCGTTCCGTGGTTGGTGGAAAAAAGCCGAGATATTTGGCAAGACCCTGCATAACGGAACATGCTAGTGCCAATCATCGGAGCTTCTTCCCGAAGTTCCGCACTCTGGTCAAGTTGAACTTCCGACGACCATCACCCGGTCCTAAAGCACGGACGGAAACCAATCATCCTATCGACTCCCTGACTTCTCCCAATGTCTCTGTATCATTGGTTGACCTATGAATCCCACAGTATTTCTTCCCGCAGACAAACTTTCTTCATTCCTCTCAGTATTCGACTATCTGAAACACATCCCAACCGAAGTTTCTCCGGTTCTCGAATGCATCTACTAGAGTGGTGCTATGAAAATGGGACTGGATCTGCTTGCTCTAGCTCAGCCAAAAATTGCCATCGTCAGTGCACCAAACACCTATGCCCAGTCTGTCGATATTGTTGTCCATGCCCTATCAATGGGTGTCCACTTGGGGACATAACGTTGCAACCAAAACGGGCTGAAAAGAAGCGTTCAGTCATTATGCATCAGGCTCGGTTGAAACCAAGTTGAAATTCAATTTCGCTAAAGCTCGCATTTATAAAGTGGGCCTTTTCAAGGCCATACGCTTCGATAACCTAGTGAACCGGCTTTATGAGATGCTGACAGAACTCGTTACTGTATGAATCCAGAACGGAAGTGAACGATCGGGAAAGTGCGGTCACATGACAAGACGCGTCTCTAACTTATTCCCACCATCCAGACCCTTGTCAACGACGACGACGACCCTTCCTCCTTCCTCCGCAGCTACTACAACAGATGTCCGAGCACCCCATCGTCGAAGCCTGCGCGGAGAGCACCCTTCACGTCCAGCAAGAGGCCTCTGTCTTCGTCGTCGTCCTCTAGCAGCAGCAGCGACCTCGTGAACCGCATCAACCGAACAGGATCAAGCTCCTCCGGCACAAGTAACATTCTAGGCTCGACGCACAAGCGCTTTAAGGCGCCTGTGTCATCGGAATCGAGGCCAAGGACTATACGAAGCCTCTCTCGACGATACCCGGGTCGCCACGACGCAAGACCCCATACGAGAGATCCAAAACGCTGACGTTCGAGGATTCACCGACGAGCAAGATGGACGTCAGTAATGTCGACCCCGAAGCGGTCCTGGTGGATTCGGAGACTCTTGAAGCAGACGTATCTGTTGAGATGGACGAGGCGTGGTTGAGAACGATGCTGACCATGGGAAGCGAGATAAGATCATGGTCTCTATCAGGCATGTATTTTTTGGGCGTCTCTGTTGATATCAAGCCTGATCCTGTTCTAGTGTATGACCTTCGAATGCAGACTCGGCATGGATTCCGTCGTCAAGCGCCAGTTCTATCCATGTCAATCCTCTCCATGCAAAGTCTGGCGCTCCGAACCCTGCGGAGAACAAATTTGACTTTGACTCTGTACTCACTGGCTCACCGAACAAACCTATTTACAGCACCGTCACTCAATCGCATGTGTATGCCGCCATGGAAGGATACAACTCTGTCATCTTTGCATACGGACAGACCGCCTCCCCGCGAGGAAGTTGTGATGAGCTTGAAGGGGGTCAAGGATGTGTTGAAGCGCGGGGAGAGCCATCGACGGACGGCTTGTACGGACTGGGATGAGAGGAGCAGTCGGAGTCATAGTGTTTTCCGGCTGGTGATCGAGAGTAGGGAGGGTGGTGAAGCCTTGGACGAGTGACTCCAGCGCCGAGTGGAAGGCAGACACCGGATCGTGGTGCCAGTAGTAAGCCTGGTCCGAAGCTGCAAGCGAGAGGTGGAAGGAGTGCAGACGTCTGTTTTGGTGAGTTTGTTTTTTACTTGCTCCATGATTCTTGCTAATGACGTCCTTTCCAGAGTCTTATTGATCTCGCTGGTCCAGAAAAGGCGAGAGTGATAAGGAGCGTACAAGGGAAGGGAAGTATATCAACACTAGGTTGGCCTTACCTTTCTGCTCTGATGTACGTACTGATTATCATTGACTACAGTTTGTTGACCCTTGGTACCGTCATTGGAACACTCGGAAAATGTCGCCAAAGGGGGGAGGTACGTTCATCGTTATTTGAAACTTTTTATTGATACTGGCGCCTCTCGTTTTTCTTTCCTCATCTCGATTCTCGAGCCGAGTCATTAGTTGTTCGGTGCTGACTTATCCCCGCTTGTCCGCGTTCTGCCGCGGTAGATCCAGGCAAATCCAAGAGAGCTAAGGCCAACGCGGAGTGTTGTGCGTGTGGTGCGGTATGGCGTTAGACCTGACGCCGTCCTTGCAGTGGGAAGAAGGAAACATGACTGGATGACTAAGCATGCGTCATGATTGTCTTTTACTTGTCGCGACTCGAAACAAAATCTTTTTATACGTTCTCTATTACGAAGACCCAGAATTTTGTCAGCATTGTCCCCGACTAACCCGACCTAGATTTGACTCGGACACTCCAAACACTGTTTACCAAGCCCGAGGCAGCAAGTCTATTACTCATCGACTGCTGTTGCAAACCACACCATCTCCGAGTCGTATCAACCGTTATCAGCACCTACAGATTTATCCGTGTGCGGAAATCAAAAGTTCCTAGGTGCAGATCCTGGAATACGTCTTTCAGACTCGGGTCTCTTGTTGCGGGACGACACAAGTACCTGATGTCAACCTTATATAAGCATAGACAGTTTTGTCCTGAGTCGATGGTCAATTGCCTTTAAGCAATTGACCGTCATACTCAGGTAAGTAGTAGTCATATGTACCTCTGCCTTTAAGCAATTGACTGTCATACTCAGTCTGGCCTATTATCCACTGCATAAAAGTAACCTGCCTGCAACAAGTTATGGGCCCCATGCTTTAAGGCCTATTTCAAGTTTTTTTTCTTCACATCTTGCTTGTGCCCTGCTATCTCTCCATCAGTCATTTTACTACTGAAATGATATCACCACATACATCATGCCATCCTTCGACACAATCAAAAAAGGCTTTGACAATCTAAATGCCTCCAACTATGGTGAGTGGGAAGAAAACATGTCAGCCCTACTCAAAACTCACCACGAGTACCTTATCACTATTGGCTGTGACCCTGAACCAGAGTTTGCAGACCCTGAGAAGCCAACATACCAGGAGAGGAAGGACTGGAAGGACTGAAAGGAGACTCAGGTATCGGCTGCTGGCACAATCTATCTCTGCCTTGATGAATCCCAGAAGGCTCATGTCAAGAGCTGTCTTGACAACCCAGAGAGGATGTGGGACACATTAAAGGCATACCATCAGCAAAGAAAACTGGCGACTCAATTTGTAGCCTACAACAGCTTCTTCAATCTCAAGAAGGAGACAGAAGAATCATTTCCAGATCTTGCCAGTCAGGGCACTCAAATCATGAGTCATATCTGTGCTCTGTGTTCCACTCATTTTGGCCTGCAGCAGTTAGAAGAAGAGCTTCTCATTATGGCCCTGATTTGTGCACTCCCTCAGCCCAAATTTGGAAACTTCATCACATTGCTATTTCTTCTCTCTGATAAACTCACTCTTGAAGGACTCCACACTGCATTTCACAATAAAGAAAACAATCAGAAGCTGTGTGCTAGTGATCCAGCAGTCTCTGTCACTCTCAAAGCCACACCTTTCTATTCAGCCATGAATCAGGCTACCAATGCTACTGCAAAATGTAGATGGTGCCTTCATGAGAATCATGCAGAAGAAGAATGTATAACCAAGAAGCTCTCACTTAAATGGGATCATGAATGTGCTGCTAACTATATCACTGGGAAGCATCATCACAAGGGGGCTGAAAAGAAGGACTCAGAAGCTGCTAACTCTGCCAAGACAAAGGAGGAGACTGCTAGCCAAGCAAATACTGATTTATCATCACTTGCTGTGTCTTATTGGAATACTGATACAGGTGCTTCTCATCATATGACCCCTCACTGACAATGGTTCCAACTTTATGCTCCACATGTCATTCTCATTCATCTTGCAGACAATTCAGTCATTTATTCAGCAGGGATTGGGTCAGTAGTATTGGAGCCAGAGATTCAGAGGGAGAAGGGCTTAGTGGTGGAACTTCTTGACATATTATATGTACCAGCATTGAAAAGTAATCTCTTATCACCCTATCATCTTACACAGGAAAAGAGATTTAAGATCTCAATTGCTGGATCAGATGTCACTTTTAGCCAGGGTGAAAAGATCTGATTCACAGCAACTGTAAACAAGAGCAATATTGGCTATGTCAATGCTACCACACATTCATTCTCAAAATTGACCACTATTGTTGCAAACTCAAGCTCTACAAGTACCTGCTGGATGGACAACACACTTTGGCATAGACATTGCTGTCATCGAAATATAGACACTATATGGCACATGCATACAAAGCAGCTAGTAACTGGAATAAAGTGAGAGTCAGGTCCTCCAACTGATCCTATCTGCATACCATGTCTTGCTGGCAAACAGCATTGCCACAATATTCCTCATGGCCTCTCAGAGCAGAAGAAACACCTTCTTGAGTGAGTATACAGTGATATCAAAGGTTCAATGTCTGTCACAACTCCAGAGGGCTATCACTACTGGATAACATTTATCTGCAGTGCATCTGACACTTGGGCTGTTGCATCTCTGAAGTATAAAAGTGATGCCTTTAATGCCTTCAAGCAGTTTAAAGCATATGCAGAGAATATCCACCCAGGACTCAAAATCATTGAGTTTCAGAAAGATAAAGATAGTGAATATATGGGAAAGGAGTTTGTCAACTTCTGTGCTGAGCATAAAATCAAAAGGCAATATACTGAACCTGATGAACCATATCAGAATGGCACAGCAGAACAAGCCAACTGCACAATTGCAGAGGCTATCACTGCCATGCTAAATGAGTCACATCTCCCACCATCATTTCAGAACCTCACTCTCTGAGTATTCATTCATATCCAAAATTACATCTCCATAGATCCTCTTCCAAACACTACACTCTTCACAGAATGAGATCCAAATCACCGAAAACTAGATATATTTCACTTTCATGTGTTTGGATGTCTTGCATATGTGCTAGTATGAAAAAAGGGACATCGAGCATTAGAGTCACACACCCAAAAATATATCTTTGTTGGATATCCAGAGGGAGTAAAAGGCTGGCTATTCTGGAACCCTTCTACACAGCAGTTCATCACCTCCAGCCATGCTGTATTCAATGAGCATGTATTTCCTGGAAATCATAAAAATATTATAAATTCTCTTAGTGATGATACATCTCTCACAAACAGACATAACAGCACAGATACTGCTATACCTGATGTGATGATGTCTCATCAAGGGGAAGAGAACATATCTATTGATAAGCCATCTTTGCCATCTGAGCAACTCCCATCATCATCATTCTCATCATCCTTGCCAGCTCTATCCACTCTATCAAATATGCAAACACCTTCAGGATCATCTTTTACTCCACTATCAAGTCTTCTGACATCTCCTATACCCTCTTCACCACTTTTATGTCCTCGGGCATGCTTCAAGCCACAATACAACTCTAAAGGTCTTATAATTCCATCTCTAAACACTGGACATGGTTTTTACTATAAACATTCTGGCACTAATGCGATGAACTCACCAGACTCAGATGAACTCATTTCTGATCTCATTAATGAAACCACTGCTGAGCCAGAGCTTACTGAGACAGATGTTGTTGCCGGAATGATCTTTGTATTGCATGATGATGACTATATCACATATACAGAAGCTCTTGAGCTTGCATTTCAGGCAGCAGTAGAGATGGCAAACCAAGCATCTGCACTCAACAATGAACCAAAGACACTTGTAGAGGTGATGACTCAGCCAGAAGAGGAAAGTGAAAAATGGTATGAGACAGCTTAGCAGGAATTAAATGCACTGCAGGAGAGTGGCACCTTTGAGCTTGTAAAGCTCTCTCCAGAGCAAAAGGCTATAGGTGGAAAATGGGTCTTCAAAGTGAAGCATAACCCTGATAGATCCATTGAATGCTACAAGGCATCCTATATTGCAAAAGGGTACTCACAGCAGCCAGATTTTGACTACACTGAAATCTTCTCTCCTACTTCAAAATAGGCAGCTATCCAAACAGTCCTTGCTCTTGCTGCACTTGAGGATCTAGAGCTCTGGAGTGTGGATATCTCATCAGTGTTTCTGAATGGTGATCTAAAAAAGAAGATATACCTTCAACAACCAGAGAGATTTGAGACAAAGGATAAGAGCTGGGTGCTTCGTCTCTTCAAGTCCATTTATGGACTGAAGCAGGCTAGGCATGAATGGCACAAAAAGCTCCACAGCACTATGACTAAGATGGGCTTTGACAGAGTATGCTGTGAACACAGCATATGGGTGTATAAAAGAGATGATGCTCAGATTATTGTTCCAGTGTTTGTCAATGATGTAATAATTGCTGCAAAGTCCATGGAGTCTGCATGACATATTGTCAATGATCTTAAGAAGCACTTCAAACTTTGTGATCTAGGTCCAACTTCATTCTTCCTCAGTGTCAAAATACACAGAGACCATCTAAATCAAACACTCACACTCTCTCAACTACAGTATATCCAAAAAATCCTAGAATGTACCAGAATGTCTGACTGTAACAGTGTCAGTACTCCTCTCAATCTACACACTAAGCTATTCAGCTCAATGTCTCCTGCTGCTCCAGAGAAATGGAAAACCATGTGGCATATCCCATATTTCCAGATCCTTGGCTCTGTAGCATACCTGGCCATCACCACTCATCCTGACATAGCCTTTGCAGTTAGTGTCCTATCATATTTCAGCAAAAACCCTGGATTGAGGCATTGGAAGGCTCTAAAATGCCTCCTCAGATACATAAAGGGAACAATCAACTTAAAATTGACATATTCACCTGATGCTATAAACTCAGATCTGTTCAAAACATACACAGATGCAGATCATAGTGGAAACTCAGACAATGGGTGCTCAACCTCAGGATATGTTGTCAAGATGGGCACAGGTGCAGTCAGCTGGATGAGCTGGCTACAATCTATAGTAACCTTATCAATCACAGAGGCTGAATATATAGCTGCCATCTCTGCTGAACAGGAAATTCTGTGGCTGTGAAATCTGTTCACAGAATTTGGCTTTTATCATCTGTCACTATCTCCACTGCTGATTGACAACCAGTCTGCTCTCTCTGTCACTCACAATCCTGATCATCATGGTTGTGTCAAACATCTTGACCTCCACTTCTACTGGTTACAAGATGAGATTGAGCAGGGGCACATACATATTGAATATCTTCACACAGAAGACATGCCTGCTGACATCTTCACAAAGGCCTTAGGGAAGGAGAAGATGACTCACATGATCAGACTGTTGGATCTTAAACTCTGAGAAGTATTATGTTGAGAGGGAGTGTTGTGGGATGACACAAGTACCTGATGTCAACCTTATATAAGCATAGACAGTTTTGTCCTGAGTTGATAGTCAATTGCCTTTAAGTAATTGACCATCATACTCAGGTAAGTAGTAGTCATACATACCTCTGCTTTTAAGCAATTGATCATTATACTCAGTCTGGCCTATTATCCACTGCATAAAAGTAACCTGCCTGCAACATCTTTAGCAGCTGTTCATGAGAATGAGAATCATACAGTAGACTGCTTTCTCCTATCATGATGAAAGTGGATGGATATCTATAACTACTGTTCCCTCAGAGCCTTTGTCTACTCTGGGTCCAGAAGTCTGGCCTTAAGACTACTCTAGGGAGAAACCTCCTCATTTGAAGCTCTCCTGGTCTGTGTTTGGCCTCAGACAATGAACCTTCAGTGGATCCACTTGCATCAGGTTAGTGTTACTCTGTGGCTGGAGTTATTCCTTCATTCATTTGGCAAATAGACATCAGAGGAACAGACATTGAGATCAGCCTTACTGCCTCTCCTGCAAAACTGTCAGTCATAATCTCATACAAAAGCTGGGATATTCATTAAGTACCTAGTATATGCTTGACAAGGATGCAGACATTGAAACAATGTAGAAATGTTGAATGACAACTGTCTCAGGCATTATGATGTGATGAAAGGGCTAGCACTGAAGCTGTTCCTATTGAGAGCAAAGAAACCTGACACTCATCTAGTGTGATGGCCTAGCAAGCTAGTTGTACAATAGTATATTCCAAGTAGTCCAGGCTATTAGCAAGATACTTATCAGAAGATAAATTCCCACTATGATCTATAGGGGTATTGATGAAATAGAACTCTTCTTTATACTCCTTGTTTCATGATTGCTTCAACCACTCAAATTTGATAGTAGTAACAATAAACAACATGCAGGACTGACTATAACATATCAACCATTGTCATGTCATGCTGAAATGTAATAATATCATAGTCTTTGACATGCAGTGTGTTCCATATATAGTCACTGATATGCAGCAGATATTTTATTTTGCTTTGCTCACCTGTCCAGTCAAAATCAATTATCCTCATCCTCTCCCCTTTATCTCTCACACTATCAATGATCACAATATTTGGTGTGTGAATATCTCTATGAATGAATGACTGATTGTAAAGAATTTAAACAGCACTTGGAACTGCTTTATACACTGTCTCTGCAATGCTCACTTCATACTTCTGTGCTACCGTCTGGCCACAGAGGAACTCCATAATGACCATTTGAAGAGATCCATACCAGTACTTGCCATCACTGGAAATTGGACCACAATACTTTAGTGCTGGTGCCTTCCCTTTACTTGCTAACAGCTTGTGGGCTTCAGCACTATATTGCTTAATAAACTTTACAACAACCTGTTTCTCTCCATGTGTCTTGTTGAGCTTCACAAGGAATGTTACCCATGCTGCATCTATTTCTAGGGGCTGAAGGTATTGGAATCTGATGACTTTTGTGTCATTATCATATTCAGTTATGTCGGAAAAGAAGTGAATGGTCTGTAGGGAATGGGAGTCTGAGAGTCCAAGCTTCTTGTAGTATTTCTCAAGGTTGTTGATGGCTAGTCTCAGAGACTGAAAAACATGAGCAAAATGAAGAGCATGGTCATTATCATTAGCATGACTATTGCCAAGTCATAGATAGTTGGTCAAACACTGGATGATTGGCTGAGTTGTGAAGACAGTGCCTAAAATAACAATCCAAGATCCTGTAATGGAGATAATGAATGAAGAGCAGTAGCATGCTTTAAGAAAATGTTCATGCTGGAGAAGTGATAAATCAACATGAAGATGAACAGAAGATAAGCCACAAACTTGGGTGTCTTCCTGCATCCAGTACTGAGCATATGAGAAAGATCCTTGAATGGAACCTTTACCACTCCAACCTAATTCAGCCTTTTCTTCACATATGATATCAGCTGCTAGCATGGGGGGAGATGTATATTAGAATTGCACAATGTGGTTTGAATTCATCTTGTTGAGGTTGAGCTCTTGGAAAACTGGATGGTTAAGCAGTTGCCACAAAATATTCCTGGTAGAGCCCTGACACATGAAAGCATTGGTCGATATCTGAGAGGCAGTCCTTGTGAGCTCTGCTGTGAGTTGGATGATATCAGCTAGAACAGGCAAGGACTCATCATGAATGCAAGCCTGGAAGGAAGTAAAGATATGATAATAGAGTTTGATCAGAGGAGAGATTGCTATCTGCCAGAGGCTATAACAACTGTTGAGAATTGGTGTGTCATTGCTTTGGTGGTCGAAGTAGTTTTTTGATTTAGCACTGAAGAGGATCTGAGTGTGCATAAGATGAAAATAGATACAGCAGAGCATTATCCACTATCCACACTCACACCAACACACACACAAAACTCTCAGTTTGTGGAGGGATTATAATGCGATAAATATAGCAATCAACAAATATAATTGTCTTCTTCAATGAGATCACAGTGCATAAACAGTAATAGCATGCTTACAACAATTCAAGGCCTTTCTAAGTCTCAAAGCTTTTTGTTTTATCAAAATAAGAGATGGCAACTGGTGTTGCCAGGCCTCAAGGCAAAGAGTACTGCAACTCGATACAATATATTGAAACACTCTTTCAAAACTCTCAAATAGTTCCAAGCACAGCTCAGATCAACTTAAATCCCTAACACATATAACACACAACTCAAGGCTTCATGCTCTAAGCAAAAACCAATCACAAACACATCCACAAGTGATCAAAAGCATAGATCTCTGTTCACAAGTTTCCAAACTGATCGTAGATGCACAGGATTCAAACTTATGCGATTCAGAGATACAAACACAATAAAATCCTATTTGACAGACCAAAGGGTTTGAACCTCTGCCAATCTGTGGAAATCACACAAAAGCACACACTAATCAAGCCAAAGAGTTTGAACCTCTGTCACCTATAGTGCTGCATGTCACAAATACCTCAAAAACTCAAGATGATGTCCTTCAGACACTGCTCTCTTATTCTCAGATTAAAGTGCAATCTAAAATCTTTTATCAAACTGAGTCCAAGTCCTTCATGAGCTTTGATGCCTCACTTAGTTCTCACAGCTCTCTTAATGATATTCAATAATCAGTTTATTCTCTCACCTGGAGTTACTAACACAAATCTAGAGCTAGAGTGCAAGGCTTTTTGTGCCTAATACACCACAACTGTGGAGGGTCAGAAAACTCCTTTCTCCAGTCATACAATACTGTATTTAAATACTCTACTATAGTACTTACTAATACAATCCTACTATGGTATCCTCAAAGCATGAGACTTTATGCTGGATCCCATGGGTATTATTCACATGCATATCACAGTCACTGCACTTATTCTCTTCCAGGTGATGACTGTGCCTGCTGTTCCTTCACTAGCTGATATCAGCTAGCTGGCCTCGCCAGGTCTGCTTGCTTTCTTATTTCTCTAGTGACATCTCTGACAGCAGTAAACTGTCTCAAACCCTCAGAGTTATTTCTCATGCCAGGAGCCAGCTACAATGGCTATGTTCTGCTTCTCTGTGTCCAATCAGTCATTCCATCTGACCCATCAAAGGTGCTATTTCTCAGTATGATGTGGAGTCTCTCACTGTGTTATGCACACTAAGGCACCATACATATGTGTGCAAGGCTCAGGGTGGTATGCACGCTATTTATTCCTGAGGTAATATTTCTCTACTTATTACTTTATTATCATCATTTTATTTCTCCATTCAATACCCATTTACTCAGATACTTTTCTTTGGTTCTTAGTTTTCAGTTCTAAAGCATGTTCCATCAGTGTATCTTTGATCAATGTGATCAGAATTGCCAATCATATTTCGATCATAGTCTTTTTATTTTTAACATGTTCTTTCATAATAGTATTAGCACATTTAGGGCCAAGTGCTGGGACCTCACATGCAGCCTAACCCCTCTGGTATTAGTCTGTTACTAGGCCATGCACTCTGCTTATTGTTACTTTAGTTTAGCATTATGATAGCTAGGTTTCTGTGCACTCTAGTCCTATTTTCTGTTATATGCTTACTGGACTAGAATGCAGTCCATATATTCACAATTTTTGCAATTTTACATGCCTGAACATGGAGAGGGCATGTCAGTGCTGTTGGATGGAGTCATGCCATGTTGTACATTTTTGATGGTGATGTAGAGCTCTGCATGTATAGGGTTAGTCAGAACATGTTGTGAGACAACAAAGACCCACACACTTTTCTCCAGCTCTCCAAGGATGTTATGTTGCTCTTCAAGATCACCTTGTATTTTGTCTGGCAATATCATGGTCTGTTCCACAGATGTAATCTGAGCAACAAGAGCAGTCAGTGCCATCTGATGATGGTGATTACTTATAGGCAACATATCTTGGACTAATTCTGCATTCCTTATTTCATCACAAAATACATCCAGTCAACAATTTTTATCCAGCAGTTGGCCCCACAGGTCAGCAGAGCCTCCAAGGTTCAGATTTAGATGTTCATGTGGCTTTGGAAGCATAAACAACAGGAACAACAACAACAGAGATGACAGTACCTTCTACAGAAATATAGTTCCCTCAAGAATCTGCATTTTGGCACAAACACTTCCCTTAAATCAGTGCACTCAGCAACATCCATGACTTTCACAATGTAAGGTGCTTCATAGACATGGTTGTTGATGTACAAGTTGTTGGAAATCTCAGGTGTTAGGCAGGATAGACTCCAGGCTGGTAAGGCCAGATGGTATGAACTTCTTATTCTACAGCTCCTACAGAGCTTATATTTATACTCTCCAGGCTTATATCTAGAATTTACTACAAATTTCTCTTGAGCTTGAGCTTACTCATCAACTCTTGGCATGATGCTGGATTGCCCTTTCTAGAACTTTCTGGCAAAATCCCAACACAAGTAAATGGAGATCTGTAGTGGCATGAGTGTCATGGTTTAAGTTTATTAGTCATGATTAGAGCAAGGTAACTGCACATGGTGATTAGCACTTTGGCCTGATGAGTCTGAGTTAACTGACAGTTTCCATGATTCCTATGGTAGTTTTCTGTGATGCAGCTTATTTACTTTTTCCTCTTTTGAGGATCCTCATACAATCTGTCAACGTAGCTTTCCTTGGGGGAAAAAGGAAGCTGTAGATCCTTGAACAGATGTCATGTGTACTTATTCTATGCTTTACCAATGGCTCTAGTAAGTACTTCAAAAGGCACTTCAGTATGGGCAGTGAGCATTGATTTTCTCATCTTGTACTCCATAATGCTTTCCTTCAAGCCATGAATTCTCAAAAGTGACCATTTGCACTAAATATGCAACCCATTAACCAGATCACAATGAATTGAAAGCCAAATAATCTGGCTCACTTTGGTGCCATCTACCATTTGCTTTTACCATCCCTCTTTGTATAGGTCTCCACTGCTGCTAATCAACTATGATTAGTAATAAGTCTTTAGACTACATCTTATACTGTACTATTTCAACCATAGCTTCATAGCTCATATGATCATGTTCCATAAGTATTAGGACCATGTCTCTAAATACAATTCCTTTGAGATGCCACCTATTACTCTAGAGAGAAACCTCCTCATTTGAAGTTCTCCCAGTCTGTGTTTGGTCTCATACAGTGAATCTTCAGTAGATCCACTTCCACTGGATTGGTGTTACTTTATAGCTGAAGTTATTCCTTCATTCATTCAGCAAATAGGCATTGAGAGAATGAACACAGTCATGGAAGCAATAAGTGGCTTGACATTAATGCTAGGAATGACTAACAAAGGCTGGTTCACAGTTTTTATAGTAGATTCAACAAGCATTGATAAATTCACATCCTTCATTCAATTCTACAGACATATACATCCAAATACCATAGATCATCATGTAGCACATCTGTTTCCTCATCATTGAAATCCCACTCATATTTCCCAGCTGCAATCTTGATGTGCACCTGATACAAAATAGACATAATGACATGGACATGCATCAATAATGCACATATGCATTCAATCTGCTTGATCACAGAGGTAAATGTTACAATTTTTCTATTTTTCTTATTATATCTTATCAGGCATCTATCTTATCACAGGACACTTAGAGTCATGGGATGATCACCATGCAATATGACATGGACACAATAGATGGACCACAACACAATATAACAGACACTTCAACAACAGACAATACCCATCTGTCTTGTATTTAACAACTACACATTATAGCATTACAATATAGGAGGATATAATAATGTATGAACTATATTTATCTTCTAAGACATGTATCTAAGTAGGATAGCTCTCACTGTAACACTTCAGCTTTGAGCTAAAGTTTATTTATACTGCTTATTCTTCTTAAGCTTACTCTGTGAATGCCATATTTGCACCAACTCAAACATATATAGTGAACTCTAGTGTGATTGTATAAACTCAATACAGCACTAGTTTATTATGTGTTTTAGTGATATGTTGAGTGGGTCTAATAATTAGCTTAATGCTTTAATCTTCCTCTTTCTTATACAGCTAGTCTGTGAAGAAAGCCAAATGCCTGCAACCCTCAACATCACATCAAAATTTTTCAAGCTCTTGAGTGCCATTGTTGGCACTTTGCTCAGGCTTTTTGCTCTTATCCTTCTTTGCTATAGCAACCAGTCAATTACTATCTGGGTAATCAGATACTATCAGTCTCTCCATACATTCTACAGAATTCAACAAAATGTCACCTCTGTTCTCTCTCTTTATGACCTCTCAGAAGAATCTCCCACCTCTTGAATTCTCAATAAGCCCAAGGTAAACTCTGTATCCAAAGCCAGTCCTGGAAACTCAGCTATAGAAGCAGTTGCAGAGGACCAAAGGAAAGAAGCCAATAAGCTCAGTGACTTCCAGTATCCATCTGGACCAAGCTGATAAGGCTGCATCTATACAGAGCAGTTGAGATACCTCCATCAAGTTCTGGCAGACCTTTCTCCTGCTCTATCTGGCCTTCTTGATGATCTTCTGCTCAACTTCTATGACACTCTGCCATCTTTCACTGCTTTTATTACTCTCTCTGAGCATGGTGAAGAGGTTTTACATGTGTGAAAGATGAAAACAGATATAGCAGAGTGTTATCCACTGATCACAACCACACCAACACATACATAACACTTCTTAGTTCATTAGGGGGATTATAATGCAATAAAGTAGTAACAGCAAATATAATTGTCTTCTCAAATGATTCCACTGCATGTGAATAGCAATAGCATGAGTATAACTGTCTCAGATCTCTCTAAGTCTCAAAGCTTTTCATTTATAAAAACAAGAGGTGGCAATGAATGTTGCTGGACCTCAAGGCAAAGAGTATTGTAGCTCAATATAATCCATCAAAAAACTCTCACAAAACTCTTAAAAAGGTTTCAAGCACAGCTCAGATCAATTCCAAATCTTTAAACACACACTACATGACTCAAAGCTTTGTGCTTTAAGCAGAAATACTTCACAAACACATTCACAAGTGCCAAAGGGTTCAAACCTCTGCACATGAGTTTCCAAACCAGTCATAGATCCACAGGATTCAAATCTATATGACTCAGAAACACAAAACACAATATAATGCTATCTGACAGACCCAAAGGGTTTGAATCTCTGCTACCTGTAGTGCCACATGTCACAAATACCTCAAAAGCTCAAGATAGTGCCCTTCAGACATGGCTCTCTTATTCTCAGACTAGAGTGCAATTTAAAATCTCTTATCAAATTGAATTCAAGTCTCTTGCAAGCTTCTGTGTCTTGCTCAGTTCTCATATCTCTCTCAATGATATCAATAATAAGTCTATTCTCTTGTCTGAAGTTGTAAATGCAAACCCAGAGATAGAGCACAAGACCTTTGTGCCCAATACACTGCAACTATAGGAGAGTCAGAAACTTGTCTACTACTCTTACAATGTGGTACTTAAATAGTCTACTACTGTACTTACTAAGACACATCAAATATAGTAGTTTCAAAGTGCAGGACTCTGTTTTGGAGTCTCTAGCATATCATTTGTGTACATATCACAGTCTGACATGCATATTCTGCTCTAGATCAGGCCTGCCTTTTGTTTCTATGCAACCTGACACTGATTAGCTCTATTAGTGGCCTGGCCACTGGTCTCTTCACTTTTTTATCTCTTCAGAGCAATTAATCCATCTACAGAAGTTATTCTAGACTCCTGGGATCATTTCTGGTCATTTCTTTCACCAAATCTTCTCATTTCTTAGCCAATCTCTCTAATATTTGGGTTTATCTCATTGTGCACCATTGCTCTGTTCTAGAACATATCTCTCAGCAATTTAATACCTACATATCATTGATCAATATAATGCAAAGTCATGTGCAAGGCTCTGATCATATTTTGATCATGTGCTCTTTATTTTTAGTGAGTCTTTCTGTACTTGTATTAGTGCAATTAGTGTCAAGTGCTGGGATCTCATGTGCAGTATGATCCTCTCTGGTATCATCCTGCTGCTAGACCATGCTCTTCATCTATCATCACTCAAGCCAGCTGTCATACAAGTCTTATTTTACTGCACTCTAGCTGTATTCTTTATTGCATGCATAGTAGATTGTGATACAGTCAATATATTATCATAATTGACAAAATTACATGCCTGGATATGCAGCAGGCATATCATATCCCCCCACTAAGATTTGGATCTTTCATAGTCTCTCCAGTAGATATCCATATATGCATATCCAATATTATGGTGATAAACCACTCTTTTCTATTATTGATATAAGTGAGTAATGCTGAGGCACTCTTTGCTCTGCCAAAACTTTCTTATTCTTTTTTTAGTTTTCTCTTTATAGCTCTTGCCTCTATGCTATACCTTGCTATTCTGTCATGCATGCTACTCTCTTGGGCCTGTAAAACTCTAGTAGTTCAATATATCTCTTTTCTTGTTGTGCTCTCTTTCAATTTCAGTTGAGACTAAGTTTCATCTGTTTTTACAGCATTCCAACTGAATCAATCTCCTTCTGGGGGCTTCTGAATGCAATATTAGACTCATGCCTGGATTCTGCAGATCTGTAGTCTCTCTCAGTTGATTTTCTTCTTTGTTATTTCTCAGAGTAATCCTTTGCATTTTGTGTGTAAAATTTCTTATTACCTTGGATGGAGATTGGTATTGTCTTGTGCATCACTTCAATCCAATGTCCTGACATTGTTATTGCCACTATTAGTTGTATTTTCTCTTGTTATTTCGTTAAATCTCCTCATTTCTTCTTTTTCTGTCACTAACAGAAATTGTGAAATTTATTGAGTCTTTATAGATAATATATTTGTGGTAATACTCT